CAACCTTGAAACCTGCCTTGGCAGTCTTTAGATCAGAGATCAATACAGCAAACCCACATCTTTTGCTGGGGTTACGTGCTGGGAATCTTGCTTGAATCACGTACAGTCAAAACACGTTGGGTTCAATGGCGGGTGGGATTGCCAAAGTCATTGCCCCCAGAAACCCTCCCCCTTATTTTATTTTATTTATTTTATTTTATTTATAAAATTGCCACACATGTAAAGCTGAATGCACACAAGTTAAACACGCGACGAGGCCTTCTGATTCTTAGCTAGACAGTTCCTGTATTGGAGCGTATTATTTAAGAGTGTGGGATAACGGTTTTCCAAATCTCTGCAGCTTTAAACTGATTAAAAGAGCTCTCTTAAAAACACTTGAGTAACCTGATGTGTTTAACATGTGCTGAAAATTATGGAGCAACCAGACATCTTCTTTTATTGCTAGAGGAATCTGGATTAAGAGAGCCCTTGAAAACTACTGGAAGTGGGGACTCTTGTGTGAGTTTCCTTCCCAGTTGCAGGAATATTAATTGAGGTGAAGCTATTGAGGACAGGAAGGGGGGTTGCGTCCTATATCTTTCTACAAGCCAATGTGTTTTCAATGTCTTCAGTGGGACAGTAATTCAGTTATTTGGAAAGCAGAGATCATTTAGCCTGCACCAGACCAGGTGATAATATTGTACTGTTAGGTGAGGAAAAGGTAATCTCTTGGGCCAAGTGAGGATTTTAGCTTTAATGGTGAGACATTCCCCCCCACACCACCCCTTATAGCTCTGAGATAGCTACACAAAATTTCAGGGCAAATATCACTGATTTTTCCTGATCACGCTGCAATATCCAGTTTAAATTGATTTCTTCTGTAATATGTTTGATGTAAGAGATTATTCCACAGAAACTCCTGCAGTTTCTCATGATAGTTGAAGTAATAATAAGTGGTGGTCCCAGACATTCGTGGCCTCCAGGAAAAATACTGAAGTTCTTTAGGACTAAGGATAATTTTACTTTGGATGTAGATGCTACTGCTCAGCTTGATTGCTTCCCTCCAAATTGTAAAGATTATGTGAAACTTGTGTTTATTGCATCCTACACAGCATTTGTTTTGAACATGACACATAGAAAACTATGCAAACGTTCTTCATTTTGATCTCATTACATCACTCTAAAGTAATCATCATATTTGCAAGGGAAGGACTGTGTGGCAGAGCACACACAGAAGACCCCAAATTTAATCCCCTCTAAGCAGAGCTGGGGGAAAACCTCAAGGAAAACCTGAACGGCTGCTGCCAGTTTGTGTAGACAGCTAGACCATGGGTAGGCAAACTAAGGTCCGGGGCCGGATCAGGCCCAAGTGCCTTCTGGATCCAGCCTGCGGACAGTCCAGGAATCACTGCATGGATCGCCAGCGTGTGTGTTTTTCCCCTCTGCCTCCCTCTCCCTCACACGGCGTCCCTCCCTCCTCCTGGCTTCTCCCTGCCCTGCCTAGAGAAGGATGGGGGCTGGGCTTTGTTGGTGCCACTCGAGCTGCCACCATTTTAAGCAGCCTCTCTCTGGAGCCCTTTTGCACGCCGCTCATCGTCCCTCCGCCGCTGCTGCTGCCAGCTGCTGCTGCTCGGAAGACGCAGGTAAGCAGCCACCGGGGCTCGTGGTGCTCTTGCATCATTTCCCCCCAAAAAAATATAGTTCCCCCCACAAGGTCTGAGGGACAGGGGACCGGCCCACTGCTGAAAAAGTTTGCTGACCCCTTAGCTAGACAGACTATCAGCCAGGTTCAGTATAAGGTAGCTCTGTGTGTTCATAATTGAAGAGATAGGTAATGGGGCCCTTTATATGTCCAGCTGTCCTTTGTCAACAACAAATTGTCGCTGTTTTTGTGTTGAATATATGCTATATATAAGGGACGCGAATGGCACTGTGGGTGAAACCACAGAACCTAGGACTTGCCGATCAGAAGGTTGGTGGTTCAAATCCCCGTGACGGGGTGAGCTCCCGTTGTTTGGTCCCTGCTCCTGCCGACCTAGCAGTTCGAAAGCACGTCAAAGTGCAAGTAGTTAAATAGGTACTGCTCCAGCGGGAAGATAAATGGCGTTTCCGTGCGCTGCTCTGGTTCGCCAAAAGTGGCTTAGTCATGCGAGATGAGCACCGCAACCCCAGAGTCATCCGCGACTGGACCTAATGGTCAGGGGTCCCTTTACCTTTATATGCTATATGGTAATTTATGGACCTAATAGGTATCTAAAGCCACTTGCACATAACAAAATATGTATCTTATCAAAGTAATTGATATAGAAACGAGCAAACCAGTGATATTTTAGGGAGCAGGCTAGCAGGCGGGGCCCATTATTTACATCATGGGAGCATACACAACACAAAACACTGTTGCTGTATGTAGGTTTTATTTTACTTGTTTTTTATCTTATATTTTGGAAATGTACATCCAGCTGTTGTTTTTCTTTAAAAAAAATTGGGGGCCGCAAGAGAGTGGGGCCCTAAACTATAGCTTGTTTATCATATACGCAAATCCAGTACTGGGAAGAGTATTAAATAAAGATTAGAGAGGCACTTGCCTTTTGCTGCCCCCTTCTGGAATACGAGGAGAGTGGAAATCAGTGAATGTTACCAAAAACTCTTCCAGACTTTAGAGCACAGGTTTTCAACCTTTCTGAGTCCATGGCTCCCTTGATCAACTACCTTCTTTCTGCGGCACCTCTGTGGGGCTCAGGAGCCCAGTTATGTTACCCCTTGCCTGCCAAGCTGGCAGCCGCTCACCCTTTTTTGAACACCCTTGTGGAGTGTTCCCTCAGCCTCCTCTCCTTGGGGAAGGCAGAGATGTGAGAGGGCATAAGAGGAGGGAGGGAAGGAAGAGGAACAGAGGCCAGTGTTGCCCAAAGCATCCCTGACCATCATTCAAGGCACCCCAGGGTGCCATGGCACACTGGTTGAAAACCTCTGCTTCAGAGAATTACATGCCGTTCTGATTTTTTTGTTTGTGGGTCCTTAAAAGCAGCAAAGCACGATCAAAACTGTGTTGGAGTTATCTGAGCGTAAGCATGAAATGTTTGCAGAACCTTGAATCTCAAATTGCTGCTTTGGGGCTAGCGATGGGGCTAAAATGGTTAAGGAAACTGCAAAATAATGTTGACAAGGCGGCTTGAGCAGATATTCCTTCTTTCCTTCTGGAACCTCAGAGGTGCTCAGATGCACTCCCATGCAGTTTTTCATCCAGGGGTTGGGCAAAGTGTAACCTTCGACCTTTCGGGCTAGTGGCAAGGGAGGGGGGAAATGGGGGAACAGACTGGAGAGTTAGCAATAGATGGTAGTGGCACAGAAGAGGGGCGGTGACAGAGTGCTCTGCCTATTTTTGCGTCTGGCCCAGCGCACTACTAGCTTGCAGGGACACACACAGAGAGACACCCCCCACCCCCCAAAATGCACCCCACAACAGAACCCCACTTCTGCACTAAGCTAACACTCGCTGCTTAAGTGTCCCAACTGCCTCTGTTTTCTGGTACCTGTCCCTGGTAAATCACATGCCCTTTGGAACACTTGTTAACATGTTGGGTTTAATCAGGCCACAACTTAACGAGTCTCCATGAATTTAGCTACACAGAGGGGAGACGAACCTAGAGGGTCTGACAACCCACCGGCTGGGGGAAGCTGCGGGGAGTAGGGCCCCCAAGTGTGAGATGACCGACTGACAGGAAAACGTATAAACAGCCTGAAAGCAAATCAGGATGAGTTGTCCTGTCTCTGCAAATGAATGGGGACAAATGCTCAGCGAAGATGGAATATCATCTAACCTTGAAACCTTTGTGCCTTCCCTTCCACCACTACACTTAACTCCCCAGTACAAATAGTAAATATGACTGAATGTTTCTGAATTGTGTTAACCATAATTCATACCCCACCCATCTGACTGGGTTTTCCCAGCCACTCTGGGCAGCTCCCAACAGAATATTAAAAACATGATAAAACATCAAACATTAAAAACTTCCCTAAACAAGGCTGCCTTCAGATTTCTTCTAAAAGTCAGGTAGCTGTTTATTTCCTTGACATCTGACGGGCACCGCTACCAAGAAGGCCCTCTGCCTAGTTCCCTGCAACCTCACTTCTTGCAGTGTGGGAACCGCCAGAAGGCCCTCAGAGCGGGACCTCAGTGTCCGGGCTGAATGATGGGGGTGGAGACTGGGTATACTGGGCCGAGGCCATTTAGGGCTTTACAGGTCAGCAGCAACACTTTGAACTGTGCTCGGAAGCGTACTGGTCAGGTATGAGGCGACAGATTAGTGTTGCTCCATTTGGCCTCCTCTGGGCAGAGTTCTGTACCTAAGCAGACTCATCACACCAGTGTGGTTGTAGATCTCGTGTAGATCCAAGCTGGGTTGTCTTCCCTACCATTAAAGGTAAAGGGACCCCTAACCATTAAGTCCAGTCGTGGCCGACTCTGGGGTTGCGGCACTCATCTCGCTTTATTGGCCAAGGGAGCCGGCGTACAGTTTCCGGCCATGTGGCCAGCATGACTAAGCCGCTTCTGGCGAACCAGAGCAGCGCATGGAAACACCATTTACCTTCCCGCCAGAGCGGTACCCATTTATCTACTTGCACTTTGACGTGCTTTTGAACTGCTAGGTTGGCAGGAGCAGGGACCAAGCAACAGGAGCTCACCCCGTTGCGGGGATTCGAACCGCCGACCTTCTGATCAGCAAGTCCTAGGCTGTGGTTTAACCCACAGCGCCACCCGCGTCCCACCCATTAGCTTGTTCAATTAGCTTGGTATTGTCTATACTGACTTGCAGGGTCTCATAGACTTGGGACTTTCTGCATGCAGGGCAAATGTTCTGTCCCTCACAGCGCCACCCGCGTCCCTCACCATTATCCCTCCCTTGATTCGCCTTGCATCCCTTGCCTGAAGCAGGTCAGAGTACTTAATCCTCCTTAAACCACTTCCAATGAGCATGCAGCCTGCTGATAACACATCATGCAGAAAGAGAGAGGGAGGCAAATTTGATTTGAAACAGTTTTTATGAAGCAGGGTTTATAATACAAGCAAGCAAAGACGTTTGCCATTACAAAAGAAAGCTAAAATACCATTCTAACCTAGGATATCCCTTGTATTTCTCGACACAACCCTTGCCTGCCATCTTGCTGAAACAAGGGACCTAGCACACCTATCAAATCCATGGTACGCACAATTCTCATCAATTGCTTTTTTGTAGACAAAAATAATTTGCTCCCCATTCTCCAAAGGTCTGTGGCATGGCCTCTCCACAACTGCTTAAGCCCACTAATTCACCTGTTAATTCTATCCAAGAAGTCAAAACTGGCTACCACTCTCAACTGGGTTGCCACTCTTTCAAGAAGTTATAGGTATTGCGTGCCTTTATGTATCTGCTGTATGGCAGAAGTGGGGAACTTTCAGCCCACCAGATGTTACTGAACTACAACTCCCATCAGCCCTAGCAATCATGGACAAAGGCCAGGGACCATGGGAGTTGAAGTTCAGAAACACCTGGAGGGCCAAAGTTTCCCCACACCTGCTATCGGGCGTAAGCAGCCCCAATTAGGGCAAAAGTTAGTCCTGTAGGATATCTCCGCTGCCCCATGTGATCCAACGATATTCCCTAGCACAAAGCTTTCCAAACTGTGTGTCGCGACCCATTAGTGTGTTGACTGCAGTGTGTAGGTGTGTCACACAAATACTCCCTGTTGTCGTCCCGGGGTTGGAAAGGGGTTAGTTTAACCTCCAGTTTGCTAGTAAAACTGAATTACTGTGTCGTGAAATGATGCATGTCTAAAAAGTGTTCCACCAACATGAAAATTTTGGAAAGCTCTGCCTTAGCACATACCCAAATAATCTTCGGTGTCTGCAAATGGCGGCAGAGATAAACAGCAGTGAGGAAGTTATCTTCCAGTAAAAACTGCCCACTGTTGTTTTTTTCCTCACTGAAAGATCCCTGGAAGTAAGTTTTAAAGCCACTCATGCACTGTAGCTTCCATGTTCCAACTGTATCATTTCCTATAGATCCTGAAGATCATTACTTTGGGTATCTATAAGCCTTCTCTGTATTCGCTGCATGCCACTAAGCCATGCACCTTTGTCTTACACGGTTACTTCCTGCAGCGATTATAGAGCGGCAGGCCTGCTCATGCGATGCGCTGAGTGTCAGCAACCAAGATGGGAGTTGCGCCAATCCCAGTTTATTGCTGCTAGTCCAACAAGCCAGAGGAACTGGCACAGGTTACAAAAACAAAAGCCAGGGGGGGATTAAGAGAGCCACCCCCTCTCTCACTAGATGGTACCTCTCCTGTGAGATACTTTGCTCCCTTACTTCCTTTGCAGTGCTACCACCGAGCAGAGATGTTGTCCAGAAGCAACCAAACAGCACTCTTGCTTCCCTTCTTCTGATCACATCACCCTCCCCTTACATTGTTGTACTGAATCCCTGTTGATCTCGACAACCAACACTTAGCTTTTAGTTATTACACCATGGCATTTTTTTCAGCCGGAAAGTCTCCCATCTCTTATGTGGGCACCATTGGCATTATAAGAGAAGAAGGGAAATGTTCATGGCGAGTTCCGGCACCTAGAAAAATAGCCCTGCGTTTAACACTCTCCACCTCCAATTCCCATGTATCTCGTTTTTATCTTCATTCACCTATGCAAGCTCATCTGCAATCAGCCTGCATGGCATCTTCTGTGTCCTACTGTTCTCCAGGTCGAATGCACGTCTCGCCCTACCTTCCACTAATGAAGTCCTTTCACCTTCCACCTTCTCAGCCCCATTTTTAAATCCACCTGTAACTTCTCCTTGCAACACCCATCTCACCTACCCAACATAAACATCCGAGGGCTAGGTCTGCACCATGGTTTTCAAAGCCTGTATCTACCAGTGACATCAAGACATGCCTCACCTCCCCACACCACAGATGGACCACGGACGCCAGACCATAGCTGTGCAGTGGATGTCATGCTTTCAGCCAGGAAAGGAAATGTTCTGACTTCTATGTATTACAGAAGCGATGATTTAGGAGGAAGGGGGATGACATGGATGTCTTTTCTTTCCACTTCCTATTCAGCAGAAAAGGACCAAGCCTTAGCCATGGCAAGCTGATGCACGGAGGTGTCCAAAACCCTATGTTTAAGGACTGCATTATTGTTCTGGTCTATACTTCAACTAGCTTATGGTTAGCATTAAATAAATGTTTGATATTAATTTATATTATGTTCCCACCCTACATGACACACAATTTCATGTATTATGTCCATAGTATATGCCCATCCTCTTTATCCTGTTTGCATAGAAGAAAGCTGGACCCACCTATCAAAAGAGGACAAAGAAACCAAGTAGCACAAGAGGGAAGCACAGAATTGTAGAATTGGAAGGGATCCTGAGGGTCATCTAGTCCAACCCTCTGCAATGCAAGAATCTCAACACATGGTCCCCCATCCGATTTGAAACCATAACGGACCCTGCTTAGCTTTGCAAACGTGCTAGCAAGCTTTATTGTTGCACCACTGGAAGAACCACTGTTGATCTCACTCCAACCATTGCATGTTTATGCCTCCTCCCAGACGATAACAGGGTGTTTTTAATTAAAACAGGGGGAAAGGAGTTTAAAACTTAAATGACGTTTCATGGAATACAAAATTTTAAAAAAGGAAGATGTGGAAGGGTGGTGGCATTGGCCATCAACATAATTAGGTGAGGACCCATTAAGATTTTTAGCACCTAAGTGTCTAACCCACAGGGCCAATAAGGAACCAGATAATTAATCTTGGTGTCTTTGGAACATATGCTACAAAACAGTCTTCCGGAGCATCTAAATCCAAACACTTAAGAGTACAACGCTATGCATAACTACTCAAAAGTAAGTCCCATTGAGTTCAAGGGGGCTCGTTTTCAGGAGAACAGGTACACGACTGAGGCTTCAGTAGCATATATTATGCCTCACTGTTTATGTCCTATTCTAAGCATTAGAAACTCCAGCCGTTAATACAAATGCCTTTGGGTGTAGGCTCTCAATATATTGTTCCAGTAGCACCCAGCAACTTTAACTAGGAAACCCTCTTCCTCAGTAGTACAGTTACGGGCTGTACTTCTGTGGTCTCCGCCTGTGGTTCACCCGGGGCACCAGTGTCCTCCTGGGGACACCCGAACGGGAGGGGGGAGAGATGGCGGCGCGCGGCCGAGGGTGCCACGAGGGTGCAGGGGACACCGGCGTCTGCTCGACAGACTGCATCTGCACCAGCGATTCCAGCAGTTCTGTCTGGCGATGCATGATGGCAATGATTTGCGCCGTGTCTGCCCGGTCCCTCTCACGGTCCTGAAGGTCTGCGGTGGCATACCGGTTCAAGGAAGACAGGATTCTGTCAGTTGCGGTCTGTACCCTCCTGTCTGCTATTCGTGACAATTCCATGACCAAGTCGTTCCTGGTTTTTCTTTGGCGCTTTCGGACTCTGGTCAGCCGCCCTTCGGAAGACAGAGTTGGGCAGTTGGGCAGCAGAGCTGACGAAGGGGCCACCGTTGCATCTGGAGATAGACAGGCACACACAAACACAAACACACACACACACACAGCCATATATTAAACAGGAGAGTGCACATTGCAATGTGATGCAAAAGGACTCTGGGTAGGTTAAATACCGTACTAACAAAATGAGTTCAGTGATGTATTTACCCATTCCCCACCCCGCAGTTATGTTTTATTAAGTTTCAACATTTTTAACGTATACAATCAAAACACAACTTCATCTTTTCTCTTATTTTTCCATGGAGTTGTTGTTTTTCCCCTTCTGCTGTACCCAATCTTCTATTAAATCGTAACCACAATATTATAATCTAATTACCTCTGTTGCTCACAGCTCAAATCTTGCTTGCAAGTTCATCATAATATAGTATTTCTTTAAATATTCTGAAAAGGGCATCCATTCTTACGTAAAACACTCATAATTAGATTATCTTAATTTTGCCAGTTCTGCATAGTCTATTATCTTACTTATCCATTCTTCCTTGGTTGGGACATATAGAATCCTAGCTGCTGTTGCTAAATACATAAACAATTTTAACATGGGGGGGGGGGGATTTCTGTCCCTATAATACCGAACAGAAACACTGGTTTTTTTATATACTCATTTTAAACTTTTTTCTTTTATCTCGTCATGTTATCATTTCATATTTACCCATTCTTGAACCTTTGGTTGATGAGCTGCCAGGGTTACTGAGGAACATAGAGGATAGGGATGGAGCTGGATGATCAGCTTCTAGCGGGAACGAAAAAAGATGTGTGATTTAATATGTTTTATACATATGAAGAAGCCTGCTGGGTCAAGCTAGGGCTGGGCGATATCTGATTTTCAATATTGTGATATATCACCAGTTAAACGTTGCAATATACCTATACAGTGGTACCTCGGTTTTCAAACATAATCTGTTCCAGAAGACCGTTCGAGTTCCAAAACGTTCAAAAGCCGAAAACTCAAAACGGAAGCCTCAAAACAGAAAACTCAATACGGAAGCAGCGTTTCATGTTTGACTTCCGAGGCGCATTCAAAAACAGAAGCATTTACTTCCGGGTTCACGGTGTTCGAAAACTGAAATGTTTGTTAACAGAGACGTTCAAAAACTGAGGTACCACTATATATCACAATGCCTGAAATCAGGATGGAGGCATTGGCTGGCTTCACGGTTTTCCCCACATTGTGATTTTTGCATAGTACACACGCCACACACACACACATACACATCATGATTCGCAATATATTGCCAGGTCAAAAATGATGAAACCAATATCATGATATGGATTTCAAACCGGTTTTGGATGGTATATCAATATACTGCCCAGTCCTAGATCAGACCAAAGACCCATCTGGTCCAGCATTTCGTTCTCACATTAGACAACCAAATACCTATGAGAAGCTTAGAATAGCATAAGTACACAGGCACTGTCCTGAACTAGAAGCAGCAGCATACTCCCAGGGAATGGCCTGAAGGAGCAGGCCACATAAGAACGGCCTACTATTCAGAAGCATTGCTGCCTCCAACATTGGTGGTGGACTGTAGACATCATGGCTTGGCACCATGGATGGCCCTCTCCTCCACCCCATTGCTGAAACCAAGCTTGTCGGTTCAGTGCTTGGATGGGAGACCGTTTGAGCACCACCTGCCCCTTGGGTTCCATGATGGAAGGAAGATAGGACATAACTGTAAGAAAACATAATAAATAAACACAGGCGCAGCACAGGCGGACCAATGCACAGAATCTCACTAGGTGCAACATTTGAAGGCCACATCTGTTCAGGGAAGTTTTTAAGGCTTGACGTTTTACTGCATTTTTATTATTTTGTTGGGAGCCGCCCAGAGTGGCTGGGGCAACCCAGTCAGTCAGCCTGGGCGGTGTATGAAGAAGAAGAAGAAGAAGAAGAAGAAGAAGAAGAAGAAGAAGAAGAATTTTTATTTATACCCCGCCCTCCCCAGCCAAGACCGGGCTCAGGGCGGCTAACAACCAATAATAAAAACAAGTTGATTAAAATACAATTTAAAAGATTAAGATACAACATTAAAACATTAGGGTGCAATTTCTTCATAGGAGGAGAAAGGAAAAAGAAAGAGGGGGAGGGAATCAAACTGATTCCAAGCCAAAGGCCAGGCGGAACAACTCTGTCTTACAGGCCCTGCGGAAAGAAATCAGATCCTGCAGGGCCCTGGTCTCATGAGGCAGAGCGTTCCACCAGGCTGGAGCCAGAGTTGAAAAGGCCCTGGCTCTGGTTGAAGCCAATCTAACTTCCTTAGGGCCCGGGACCACTAGGGTGTTGCTATTTATGGACCTTGAGGCTCTCCGTGGGGCATACCGGGAGAGGCGGTCCCGTAGGTACAAGGGTCCTAGGCCGTGAAGGGCTTTAAAGGTCAAAACCAGCACCTTAAATCTGACCCTGTACTCCACCGGGAGCCAGTGCAGCTGGAAAAGCACTGGGTGAATATGCTCCCATGGCAGAGACCCCGTGAGGAGCCTCGCTGCTGCATTCTGCACCCACTGAAGTTTCTGCACCCGCTGGAGAATAAAATTATCATTGCTACAAGTTTCTCCCGGGCACAAAGCAGAGCTCTTACTTGCTGCCGGCCAAGACATGCTTGCAGGCTTCGCGGAGACCGCCCTTGTCATGTAGAACATGGGACTGGGCGTGGCGGAATCGGAGATCTCCACAGCTATCTGTGTGCATGGGGAAAACTGATCCGGACTCTCGCTATAGTCCTCTGGCACCACGGGCGCGGCTCCTTCCGCCAGGGGACAAGGAGAATTGGTATCCCCCGACGACTCCTCCGGCAAAGCAGCGTGCGGTAGCCTCCTTGGGGGCTGGAAGCCAGAATCGCCGGCCAATATCCTATCGAGCTGCTCATAGAAAGGGCACGTCATGCGCCCGCCCAGCGAAGAGGGGTTGTCCTTGGCCTTTTTGTAATCCCTCCGCATTGTTTTAGTCTTGGTCCGGCATTCCTGCGCAGTGCGTTCGTGTCCCCGCTTGGCCATCTCGCTTGCAATGACTTGGAAGGTGTCCATATTTCTGTAGCTGCTCTGAAGCAGCTTCTGGATCTTCTGCTCTCCCCATATATCCAGGAGGTCAATGACCTCGGTGTAGGCCCAGTTGTTTCCACGGCGGCTCATGGTGTTGAAATTAACAACCTATAAAAATATAATAATAATAAAATTTATTTATATCCCGCCCTCCCCAGCCGAAGCCAGGCTCAGGGCGGCTAACAACAATAAAATAGTACAACATTCTAAAATCATTTCATTATAAAATTAATTCAAATCAAATTGATGGCAACCATTGGGCTAGAGTTCTGTGAAGATTGCCAAAGGAGGGAGTCAGGCTGTGCCCTGACCAAAGGTCTGGTGGAACAGCTCTGTCTTGCAGGCCCTGCGGAAAGATGTCAAGTCCCGCAGGGCCCTAGTCTCTTGTGACAGAGCATTCCACCAGATCGGAGCCACAGCCGAAAAAGCCCTGGCTCTGGTTGAGGCCAGCCTAACCTCTCTGTGGCCTGGGACCTCCAAGATGTTTTTGTTTGAAGACCGTAAGTTCCTCTGTGGGACATACCAGGAGAGGCGGTCCCGTAGGTACGAGGGTCCTAGGCCGTATAGGGCTTTAAAGGTTAAAACCAGCACCTTAAACCTGATCCTGTACTCCACCGGGAGCCAGTGCAGCTGGTATAGCACCGGGTGAATGTGAATGTAAATTTACGGAGGGGGGGAAATGGCAGACTGGGTGACGTTGAATCTCAAGGGGATGCAAGTCACTTTCCACCCCAAAAAACATGCACTCTACCACTGAACTGTCCTTCTCACTGTGCAGCCAAACTACCATATCCAGTAGTCAAATGGGAACGTTACCCAACCCTTCCTAGGTAAAGCATGGTATGCAATACGACATAGAATTGTAGAGTTGCAAGAGACCATGAGGATCATCTTGTCTAACTCCCTGCAACGCCGGAATATGCAGCAATTGGCATTACAGTGGTACCTCGGGTTACAGGCGCTTCAGGTTACAGACACTTCAGGTTACAGACTCCACTAACCCAGAAATTGTACCTCGGGTTAAGAACTTTGCTTCAGGATGAGAACAGAAATCGTGCAGCGGTGGCACGATGGCAGCAGGAGGCCCCATTAGCTAAAGTGTTGCTTCAGGTTAAGAACAGTTTCAGGTTAAGAACAGACCTCCAGAACGAATTAAGTTCTTAACCCAAGTATAATGAGTATGGGTTGCTCGTGCGTAAGTTGCCGCCTCTCCAGGCTTTGTTGCCTTGGTAAACCTTTCAGTCTGGGCAGCCCTTCACTTCGTGGCTGCCTCAGTCGCTAGCAGAATCCGTCAGTGGGCGTTTCTTAAATCTTTTCCAACATAAAAGTTGTTTGACACCCAGTCTCCTCCTACTCTCTCTGCGCGGAAGTCTTCTGCGCAGGGTGGGCGTGGGTAGCGGGGGACCAGTGCTCTCCCCGCTGGTGTCCGGTGAAGAGTCCTGGAGCCCTCTCGCCGATTCCCCATCAGCCCCTCCTTATCCCTGGTGTAGCGCTGATTTGCTTCCCCATCTGCGGAGCTGCCTCTCTCCCTGCTGGGCCCTTCTCCAGCATCATTTGAGAGCCTTCCCTCCGCCTCTAGCTCCGATGTCAGTTCCCTGACACCAAGGTACCACTGTATCAGCACCATGCTCTAACCAACTGAGCTATCCACCCCTCTAGAGTAGTGGGGTACTTCCACCCCCCCCCAATCCTTAGCTTATAATATGTCAAAAGCCATTTTTATGCTTTACATTAAATTATTGCTCTTATTATTCCTATTCTTATTGCTATTCCTATTCTTAAAATAAATTTGTATGCCACCCCTTACCCGTAGGTCTCAGGGTGGTTCACAACACAAAGTTATACTATAAAAGCACAATTAAAACAATCAGCAATGCTAATGTATGCAAACTAATAAAAAGTACATTCCCCAACCAAAGCCCCTAAACAATCTCCCACTCTACAAATACAAAAATCTAAACTAACATATAACATTTTAAAACAATTTAAAACACACACACCCCAGTTAAAACCCCGTTCCCCCATTAAATAAACTTACACTGAATTATCCATTACTCTATTGCAGTTTGCAAATTGTGGGTTAATTTTTATAGAAAATACAAGTATGTTTGAAAGACTATGATGAACGTGTATGATGTTAATAATGTGTCAAGTTAAAATATGAATGGTGAGGAAAGATCCAACACATTCAAAAATTGAGAGTCTACTTACAAACTGTCTGTCGGTCTTATTAGTTATTGGGTTGTTGTTGTTTTGTTTTTCAATCATTGGTGAATTTGCTCTGGATTCCTGGGAGTTCAAAACAATCAGATCAATGATCAAAACTGTGGTCAGTACAAAGAAACATGAAAAGAAATTCTACTTTTATTAGAACAGAAGAACAGCCCAACGGGATCAGACCAACAGCTCATCTACTCCAGCTCCCTGTTTTCACAGGGACCATCCACATACCCATGGGAAGCCCACAAGCTGGACGTGAGCACAACAGTGATATTTTGTCCTGCAGTTTCCAGCAACTGGTATTCAGAAGCATAATACCTCTGACCATGGAGGCAGAATATAGCCACTGTAGCAAGTAGCCACATTTTATTTTTATTTTTGTCCTGGGTCATTTTTCTTTCCTCCCTCCAACACAACCCTCATCTTGAAGATATTTACTTTAGGACTGAGTGATCTACTGGTGATCATCCAAAACCGGTTCAAAGTCCATATTGTGATATCGGTTTCATAATTTTTGATATGGCAATGTATCACAAGTCATGGTGTGTGTGTGTGTGTGTGTGTGTGTGTGCGCGCACACTATGCAAAAAATAACTATGTGGGGGAAACCGTGAAGCCAGCCAATGCCTCTACATAGCTCCATCCTGATTTCAAACGCTGTGATACATAGATATATCACGATGTTGCAAAACCGGATATCGCCTATCCCTACTTGACTTACAAGTCCAAATGTTCCTATGGAATTAAATTCCAAACAGGATTTCAAAGTTTGGTGCTTAAAGATGCGTTTGTTTAGTCCTGCAGCCCAAGGGTAGTGTGTTGTGTGAACACACTGTTAAAACAAGGCAGCAGTGGCCATCGACTGGGATGGTTTCAAAAGGTGGTTAAACAAATTCATGGAGGACAAGGCTTTCATTAGCGACCGACCACAATGGTTGTGTACTGGAGGTGGCATGTCTCTGAATAGTAATTGGTGGTAAGCCCGAGTGGGGAACAGGTTGTTGCACTCATGCTGTGATTTGGGCTTTCCAAAAGAAGCTGGTTGGCTCCCAGGAGCAATTCCCTGGCCTCCCACCATTGCCATCACTGTGGCTTACCAAGAGGGAGAGAGGTAAGGGAGGGAGGATGTTGGTGTAAGTTGACTTCACTGGGCTGCCTGCGCAGTGCTGGCCTCCCTGCCACTCTGCCACTCCATGTATATAGCAGTGACACCAATTGTGAGAGGCCATGCAAGAAGTGACACCCGTGGCCTGCTCCCCTTGGCTACTGGGCAAATAGAGGATGCTAGACTAGATGGGCCTTTGGTCTGATCCAGCAAAGCTCTTCCTGTATTAGCTGCGTTTTCCTGCAATTTATTGCTTGAAAAATGAGTGGTTCCTGTAACGGAAGCGCTAACTTCGGGAAAGACATTAAGCTCTATATAGCACTGATCTTAAGTGAATGCTCACAAACAAACCCAGCAAAACCACAGCATCTTTAACTCCAAACATCAAGTTAACACAAACCTGCACAGAGAGGGATACAGGGATCTCGTACTATTTAGGCCAACCATTTTTTGCAACGCTTCTTAAAAGCGGTTGGAAAATGCAGAACACATCGAAGATGCTGCACTCATTTAACGTAATACGGGTAGAATCCCTCTAGATTCAAGTGCACAGGACTGGGAGAGCAAATCATACAGTGAAATAAAGCGAGGTAAATATGCACCGACTCCTCTTTACTAGGGGCAGAAGCAACGATTTGAAAACCGAAGAGGGAAGTATGCACAAAGTACGAGGCTTAACGCGCGCGCAAAGGAATATACAGTATTACGGAGGGGCTGTGCTTTTGTCTTCCAGGAAGGAGCCCAGCAAATCCCCACCTCCGGTTTTCATGCTCAGGGTCGGCCATCAAAGAAATCTACCTTTGTTACCCATGGGTAAAAGTTTTGCGCAGATCCATCAGCGAGAACTTCGGGTCCTTGCGCCCCTGCGAAATCACCCGCCGCCACGCGATAGAAAACCTTGCGCACGCAAGCTTAGGCGAGGGGAGACAGGCAGGACCTCCCCCTCTGCTCCCCTCCGCAGGAGAGCTAAACCAGGATGGCTTCCCTTGGTCCCGATCTGCTTCCGCTCCTCCAAGCCCTTCCCTGCTTCTCTCACCAACTTCCCAAGCCAAGGCTGCCTTGCAGATACCCAGACCCCTCCTACCAAAAGCGCTAAGGGAGCATGTGCAAATGGCCTCGGAGCAGGACTGCGGGATGGTTTCCTTCATCCCTGTTACACTTGAAAGCTACTACACCTTTCCACTTTTCTTTTCTTTTTGCAATAGTTTTTATTGTAAAAAGTTATCACATTACCAACTACATAACCATATGTAGGGATTTCTTTGTTCAACTGATGGAATATATACCGAAATGGCAAAACTGACCGGAAAGCTCAGGAACCAAGAAGACAACAACTTCAAGAAAGAATGGGGAAATTTACAATTTATTTAGGAGACCACTGTAAGCAGATGAAAACATTAGCAGGATTTTAGTAACACTTGTAATGTAACGATTACAATAGATAACATGGAAAGATGTAAAATATGGATTAGGTAATAATAATATGCAGGTGAAAATGTTGACAATGGGACCCATGGTGGGAGGTCGAAGGATTCAAAGAAACGCCTTTCCACTTTTCGAGTCGGTCCTTTCATGGCTTGAGACCCGGGCACCCGGAGATTTACTATCTCCATGCGCACCTTAAGATTTTATTTCGAGGGGTACCAAGTAGCAGCGCTTCCCCCTACAGAATTGCCCAGGCACCTGCACCCTGATGCCGTTTAGCACCAGGCAATTTTTCCAGCTCTCTTAATCTGTTCTGGTTTAAACTCATTTTTATCAAGATTTTTCACACCGCTTTTAATGTTTTATTACATATCATAAATTCATTTTAATTCTTTGTTGCAGGGTACCTTGAGAACACGCTTATAGGATGGCATATATATATTGGAAATAAGTGTGCATCTTGCAACGTTCAAGGTTTCCTTGGTCCCGTGCGGGGACTTCATCACATGAGATAACAGCATAGGATCGGGCCCTAATGACCGCATCCCCGCACTCTCTGTCCACCCAGAAGTAGTCGTCAACTCATCTTTACTCAGAGTAGATTTACTGAAGTTGATGGCTAACACTGAAATTCAGGGACCTATGCCACTCAGGCGCATTCATTTCAAAAAGAATCTACTCTGAGTATAAGTAAGCTAAATGCAACCGACTCTCAGGTAACTGGCTTAAGGAGAGGAGTCTTCGTTTGCACCACTGCCTTTTCTCCAGCACCCCTGGGAAGGCCTATATGCATCAACAAATCAAGGGTGTTCTACTCCTGCGCCCGGCAGCTGACTTTTTAGAGACGCTCCCTAAAAGCAGAACATTCCATTCTTCCTCTCCCATCCGCCCACGCTCAGCCTCGAGAATCATAGAAACGGGGAAGAGTTACACCCCTCACTTTCTGTTCCCATTTGGATGCCGCCATATGCGGGGCTGTCCAGCGGAACTGGAACCCGCTTCGCCCTCCGATCTCTATGGTAACGCTGCGCTTGGCCGCTTCGCGTATAAGCTACAGGCAAATGGGAACCGGAAGTATGGGGCTATATCTCCCGCGAGCAAAACCCCTGCTCCTCACAAGCTGCTGGAGGAAGTTACGTTTACCAACTTCCGTGCTCGTGACGTTTACCTCATTTCCGGTTTCTGCCGAAGCGACCAGCGAGGTGTGCGGGTTTTTTATTATTATTACTATTTCGGCTCGGCTTACGCTGCCGGCACGCATGCGCGACGTCTCAATCGCTTCAGCTTTCGGCGACGGCGGCGGCGGCGGTGGAAGTCGAGGAGTTCGGAAGTTCAAAATGGCCGCGGCGACGATAGTGGAGTCGGGGCTGCGGGGGCGCGGGTAAGAAGAAGAAGAAGAACCATAAGATAGATAGATAGATAGATAGATAGATAGATAGATAGATAATATTAAAGCACGCGGTTTAGTTTCGGTAGCTGTGAGGGAGAAAGTCGGGTGGGCGAGGGAAGGGGGGAGGGAGAACGTGCTGTTGAGCCGTTATAACGGTCGCGAGGAGGCCCTGGCCGGGCCTGGCGTCTGAGGCCGGAGCGGGACGAGCTTCTTCGGAGCCCGCCCTTAACCTCGAGCGGGCAGGCACGAAGCCGGCTTTTCCCTCGCCGCCACCCGGCCCTTTCCCAGCGCCTGCTCGGGCCCCGAAGGCCTACCTTTGGGTCTCGCCAGAGTTGCCGCCCCCACCCGGAAGGGAGTCCCAGCGCCGGGCCCTCAAGGCTCGGGCGCCGCGCGAGCTTTCCTTCCCTGGGGGAGGAACCCCCGAAAGGTTTGCTGGAAATTAAATGCCGTTTAAGCCTCTCCTGCGGCGGCGGGGGGGAGGGGCGGGTTGGCACGTCGCCTCTCGCCTTACGCTTTCTTTGTTTTAAGAGAACGATCGTGCGCAATGGCGAGAGCCGCACCAAATTTTTTTTAAAAAGGGATTTTTTCTTTTTCCCGCACAAGTTAACGTGCGAGATTTGGGGCGGGGGGAGGTTCCTGCTCATGCTTATTTTGAGAGTTAACTCTGTTCCATTTTGGACTTATCGACGTGGCTGGGGAAATGTCTGACGAGCCTGGGCAAAGTTACTAGCCCTAGTGGGATTGTTGTTGTTGTTGGATTGATTGATTGAATTTATATACCGCCCTCCATCCAAAGATATCAGGGTGGTTGCTCATAGACATGCTGTGCTGTTTTTCCTTTGCCATCAGTGCTGCTAAGTACTTCACTAACAGATTTCTTTGGTATTTTACTGGTTTTTAATTTCCACATCACTGATTTTGTTTCTCCGGCGTGCTTCATCTCAAATAGAGGTCTACACATTTCTTCCGATGCAATCTGAGTGATACGATTGCTTATAAATAAAGTTGTGGCACAGTCTAAATGCCATATGGGTCTATCACACATGCACATTTGGCTTTTTGTGTCTTAGTAACTCCTTACAGGCAAATAAGTGCTAGTGTTTAACTTATAAACCACATGACGTTTACATTGTATTTGTTAAAGCTGCTCCCACTCCAGTGACATTTCTGGATTAACAGCTGTTACAATGCTTGTAGTCTAAAGCTATGGTCAGGAGCTAAGCCAGTTAAAATCAAAAGACTGGCATAAAAAATGAATTATTTAAATTATTTTAAAGACCTATTTGTATTTTTGTAATAAAGAACCTTGCATCCCATATTTCATGAGGATGAAATTGCCAGAGTTATGAAAGATTACAATGTATTGTCCTGTTTATGTAATTTTAGGGACATAACAGTATAGATAGTCAAATACCAAAGTACAAACTAAAGTAAGAACTCTGGTGGGATATCGGCTTGATCATGCATTTTTTACATAGGTGTGCATGTAGAAATCAGCCTTTACCAAAGCTCTGCTACCTAACTTTTATTTAGTCTAGCATTTCTCAGATGTCTTTGGGGAAAATCTAATGGGCATTTTGTGCTCATTAATTTCAGAGTAAATGTAATCCAACTTGCAGGGACTAATTGATTAGTGAACATGAATAGGATCAGTATGCAAGAAATTTGGGCAATAAGCTCATGTTGTGAGCTGTTGAAAGCACAATTTCTGGCTTTTCACCAGAATACACTTTTTTTTACAGCTATGGTATCCATGGGTTATTAGATTAGTAACTTCCTTTTTATGAGGCAATCCCTAAACAAATCATAGACACACAATAAACTTGTAAAACTCAATTTCCAGTTGAGGGTGACTTGCTGGTTAGTTATTAGCTGTAAACATTTTGTGGTTGGATGACCCATGTAGAATTTGAAATACTGTAGTTCCACTTATTAAGCTAACATGGCAATCCAGATCTGTGCATTTAGATGGGATGGTGTCTGCTGACTTCCAGCAGGAAAGTCCCACAGTCAGGGTGTGCCCACCCAAACAGTGGACTGGTGGAGAGTACTGTCAGTGGCACCCAGCAGCCCACTTCCTCCCTCCAGCAAATGGGACCGGCACAGGATCTGCTGGATCCAGTGTGGACACTGCTGCCATCGCATGATAGAACAGGCTCAATCTGGGCCTCTTTGCTGTGTCAGCTTGGCAGCTAATGCAGTAAAGGGGCATGTTACCCTCTCCCCACTGTTTCTGCTTCAGCCAGAACAAGCACTGGGGCTCCTAAGCAGTGCAATTTTTGCTAGTTTTCACTACAACTTTCATGCGTCAGAGCTTGCTTCATGCTGCAGATGATTTGGTAAAAATCAACAGCAGTTACAGGATGAAACACAAATTCTTTGAGAAGGTTTTAATAAAACTTGTTTTTCTTGCTAGAACTTGTTTTCTTTTTCTTCACTGTTTTCACAATTGATAAGCATATGGACAAGGTCAGATTGCCCGTTTATGTCAGCAGTCCATGGGAGGGGACTCTTTATTCACTGTCTACAACTTCAGTTAGGTTGAGGGCATAAATATACCATATTGAAAGGTACAGTAGTGAAGATGGTGGTGTATTCAACTACCTTTATGCCACAGTACTGTGCTGGCTTTCCTCCCAGTTGTCTAAAAATCACTGAAGTAATAGAAGTCGTTAGATTGTTTTCCAAAGTGATTGACACACAATTATTTCCTACTTCTTAAAATAAGAAAAATAACAAGAGGAAGACAATACTCTAATTTTCATTTTGTTTAAATACACTTATTGGCCATAAGGCACATAATAGTTGCACAAACCATATGTTCACACAGATATTTTCATCTTTTGTTCCTCGTGAATGGTAGGTGGGCAACAGATTCCTGGATCTATGCTTGGTATCATGCTCGGGGATACTACATTCATGACAGTGTGTTTTACTCACAGTTCTGGCTTTATATTTTGGAGACAATGGATTATATCCAACTAGTCATACTCAGAGTAGATCCACTGAAGTCAGCGGACTTAAGATACTCATATTAGTTATGGCTGGCGTTGGCGATAACCCCACATGTATCTCATTTTTTTAAGCCAAGTCAGTATGCTAATTTGATCTGTAAAATTCTGAAGCAATTTAGTCTGATACCTAGTTCAACAGCCTTTTTGGATCAATGGCCACATTTCAAATTTTGAGAGAGTGCTGTGGGTGCAGGTCACAAAATGGTTGCCATAGAGAGGGCATAGCATAATGCAACATGGCTGCTGGGAGGGCATGGCACAACACAAAATTGGAGACCGTTATTGCAGCTCCCCCACCCCAAGAACTTCACTCATACCATGGGAAATCAGCTATATCCTGCTGGTCTTGATTGTGGAGATACAGCTGTTAAAAGGCAGAAGAATCCTGCTTTCACCCATTCCAACTGTAAATCAAAGCCTAGGCTGTCATCCTGTACCCACTTATCTGGGAGTAAGCCCCATTAGAAACAAAGGGACATACATTTGAATAGACTTTTACCATTGTACAGTCAATTAATGTTACAGTGAAATCTTAGTCCCTAGTCTTTATCTTATAACACAAGAAGACATGTCTCCCCCTCTTTTGCAAATTTTTAACATTTGCCGTTGGAAGGGAGGGAGAATTCTGTAACACACCCCCATACTTATACAGTAGTATTTGCAGGAAATAACTCCCAGAACTAATACAAACCTACCACAGGCAAGATGCACCCTGGTTGTGAGGCAGAAAGGAAGGGTAAATGACATCTTCCAGGGACAGGAAAAAAATAAAGCAGGAAAATGCATGGAAAGGGAGGGGAAAGCAGGTGCTCTTTAGGACCCCAGGGATTCCTGTAGCCTGGTGTCCAAACAACTACTTAGCAATCATAGGCACACCTCTAATTTTACTTGTTGGCTAAAAACACTTAACAGGTAGGAACAGCTAGGCTAGCTCATTTCACAGAAATTGCCTATAAGGGTACCTGTGCATTTTTCTTCCTAACTTTCTTCCTAGGAGGGCTAGAGATTTGCTTTTTTAAAAAATGAAATTGAGTCTGGGGCCCATGCCAGGTGTGCCAATGAAGGCCGTCATGGGCACTGGGTTGGCGAACCATGGTATAATATTTATACATTGGTATTTGAGCCTCTTATGTATGAACAGTATGTGTGAATTTTAGTGATGCTTGTTATTTAATTATATTTAGTTCTTATATTCTTAATTTCATCTAAACTCTAATTCTAATCCTTAGTTGTGCAATTGAACATGTTTTGTTCTTGGTCCCATATGCTCTATTTGTTTGAATAAAAATATTATCTTGATTCGTTCATCATAAGTTAGCTTATCAGGAACCGTAGAAGAATAGCAATAATAAATGGTCTGTAGTTTATTTTCTAGTTATTGAATAAAAAATCCTTTCTTTAGCAAGGATGATGAACATGGCTGTTTAAACTAATTGTGCCCCAAAGCAAATCTGAAAATAAATGGGGCAATAATGGATCAATGTATAAAAATATACTTTGACTGACATCTTAAGTGTAATTGTGTTGTTGATCTAATTCACAAGTAGAAGTAAAAAATGAACCTGCCAGAGAGTGATTTTGCCATCTTATTTTTCTGCACTAGTGTATTTGTGCTGTGTTGTTATTGGGTAATTACAGTTTACTTGTAGGAGGGATCCTTGATGGTTACAGGCACAGATATGCTTCTGATATATTTTGCTTGAATGCAGGTTAAGAGTTCTCTAAACAGTTATGGGCAAATTTCTTGCTCTCTTGTCTGCCTAGCTGCCCCCCTAAATTCTTCCCCTCCAAAGACTTTCCTAAGGATTGGGAGACTGTCCTATGTGGGGTAAGCTGTGTCACAGGACTGAGGGGGAAAGGAAAGATCTCAGAAAATTTGGTCAGATCTCTGGCTGCAAACCATAATATTTCATTTGATCTCTGATTTATTCTATTTAAATATATTTACAGAATTGATGATGCTGATATTTCTGAGAGAAGTGCAAATGAAGAAAATGGGGACATTTCAGAAGGAGAGCAACCACAAATTAAACACAGCCGGCATAAAAAAGAAGCACAAACACCGAGGTAAACATAAGAAACATAAACATTCTTCAGAAGAAGATAAGGACAAAAAACATAAACATAGGCACAAACATAAGAAACATAAACGAAAGGAGATTACTGATGCCTCTGATAGAGAAGATGGTCCAGCAAAAAGAACTAAAATTGATTTCTTAGCTCCTTTAGAAGACTTAGAGAAACAAAGAGCATTGCTTAAAGCTGAACTTGAAAATGAGCTAATGGAAGGAAAAGTTCAGTCTGGGATGGGATTAATATTGCAAGGTTATGAGTCAGGTTCTGAAGAGGAGGGAGAAATCAATGATAAGGTGAGAAATGGGACTAGATCTGCAACTAAGTCATCAAACGCTAAAGGGAAACCAGAGATTGTAGACAATAAAACAAGTTCAAAGAAACGGAGTAAGAGCAGATCAAAAGAACGGATTCGGCACAGATCTGATAAAAGAAAAGCAAGTCAGGAGTTGATGGAATAAAGAGAAAGCAACAAGAAGTAAATCAAAAGAGAGGAGAAAATCAAAAAGCCCATCTAAAAAAATAAAGTCTCAAGATCAAGTAGGAAAGTCAAAGTCTCCAACTCTTAGAAGGCGCTCTCAGGAGAAAAATAGGAAGTCAAAGTCTCCAGAAGATAAGACTAAAGCAGAAGATAAGATGAAGTCTAGAGATCATAAAAATCTCCAGCTGTTAATGAAAGTAAAAACAGAGATCGTGGCAAAAATCAAAATCTCCAGTAGAACAAAGAAGTAAATCCAAAGATAGACGATCAAGGTCTAAAGATCGAAAATCCAGGAGAGTGGAGGCTGAAAAGAGAAGAAGCCCACCAAATCTCCTTCTAAAGATGCATCATCAGGGAAAGAAAACAGGTCTCCTGGTAGAAGACCTGGCCGCAGCCCTAAAGGAAGAAGTTTGTCTCCAAAACCACGAGATAAACCAAGACGCAGCAGATCACCTCTCCTTAATGATCGCAGATCTAAGCAGAGTAAATCGCCCTCTCGAAATCTGTCTCCTAGGAGAGCAAAGAGTAGATCCGTAGAAAGAAAAAGGAGAGAATCGGAAAGGAGGCGTTTTTCTTCTCCAAGGTAATTTTAATGAAGAAAATTAAGAATCAAGTGGTTTTAATTTTTTTTAAATGTGCCCGCCTGTCCATCCCCTAACACATGAGAGGTGCTGAACTGGTAAAACCGAGATGCCAATTTGCAAAGGAAGAAATAGGAGAACACTATAAGTGAACTCCCGATTCTTCCTTTCCAGCTAGTGGCAAATAAACTTGAATGACCTGGTGCCATATGATGTCACGTAACTGACAAGTAGGTGGTTCTGCCCACCAGTCAAAGTGGCCCATAGAGGGTGGGCCAATTCTGGGTCTACTCAGCCGGCTGGATCCAATTTCCCCTGGTATGTGTTATAGAAATTTGTGGAAGACCTTTGATTTATTTAACAAAATATCAAAAATAATAGCATAGTAACTTTTGAGGTTTTAAGGGTTTAATAATAAAACAGTACGCTGAGCCAGACTTGTCAGTCACCACTAATATTGTTTCTTGGGAAGTAGAAACGTCAAAGCAGAGAACACTTTGTAACTTTTTTCCAAGCTTTCTGTATGCTACAAATAACTAGCATAGGTATGTTTGGAAAGGCAGACTGTTGCAGGCAATAAAAGCATCACATGAGGATTTGGTGTGAATATAAAACTTGATTTGCTAACATTTCAGCAGTTTTCCTATAGTATGTAACATGAGGAAGGTATTGTCTGGATGCGAACGGGATCTGTTCTGGAGCCCGTTCGCATCCAGACGCGAACACAACCCACGTCTGCAGGTTGCGATTTGCCACTTCTGCGCATGCGTGTGACGTCATTTTGACTGTCTGCGCAAGTGGCAAAACCCGGAAGTAACGCAGTGTGTTACTTCCGGTCGCCACAGCGCACAATCCAAAATACTTATCCCGAAGCTACTTCATCTCGTGGTATGAGTGTATATGCTTTATTTTTAGTCTGACATTTTATATCATTCTTGCTTATATTAATTTCTACTGAATCCAGTCTGTGAAATGCTATAAAGATAACTTTACAGTGAGTTTTGAAATGGTTTTTAAAGGGAATCAGGCCTATTTTTGTATATATTTATTTTTACAATATTTCTTCTAACTTCAAGAACACGAACTAGGGACGATATCCTCTCTAGACGTGAGCGATCAAAAGATGTCAGCCCACTTAGGTGGTCCCCATCCAGAAGAAGATCCAGGTCTCCTATTCGACGAAGATCTCGCTCAGTTCTTCGACGTAGCCGGTCTCCAAGAAGGAGGAGTAGATCTCCTCGGAGAAGGTATATATTCTACAATACTGTAAAAATAAGTAGAAATTAATCTTGTACGTTAACCGAGAATGGTTCTTTTTTTCAATGCCATAACACCGCCACTATGGGTTGTAATCAACAAAGTTGTTCTGTTAGCACAAGGACTTATGCCTGCTCAATAGTACTTCCTCTGCTTGGGAGAGGTAAGGGAACCCCCAGAACATATTTGAGTGGGGGCTCGAGGGAAGAGGAAGTCAGATTGCAGAGGCAGAAGTCCTTGCACTAATGGGGCAACTCTGTAGGACACAGCCCTATACATTTTGCCAATTCCCTAACACTCCTATGCTTCATCTAGGAGCATGCTACTCAAGTTGTGGCTGTCCTGCTCCCTCTGTTGACCAGAGAGGAAACCAGTGCTGGCCTAACTTTGAATTCCAAACCAACATGCAAGGTTTATTAATATCTAAACATGAGAGGAAGTGAAGAACAAACCTTGCCTCATCCTAAGTTTTTTTTTTTTGTTTTTGTTTTTTTGCTTTTGAATGGAACAGGTTTGAACCTTAAAATGCTTCAAGCAAATATATAAATATAAGAGATACTTTGTCACATTGATTCTTTTTTCTTTTAATTCCACATTTTCAGGGATAGGGGTCGACGGAGTCGATCTCGTCTTAGGAGGAGATCTAGGTCACGGGGTGGCCATAGGCGGAGGAGTAGGAGCAAAATAGAAGACAAATTTAAAGGAAGCCTTTCTGAAGGGATGAAGGTGGAGCAAGAATCCTCATCAGATGAAAAGTAAGAACTGAATTTTAATGTTTCGTATTGTGATCTTCTACCAAATTTTTCTGTGTGTAGATAGATGAAATGTCTTCTTTTTCTTAAATCAAAAGTATTTTCAACATGGAGGGCAATCTTGAATATTAATAGTGAGTTCAGTGCTGTAGCTAGTTGCTCCTCTACCTAATGTACCACATTTTTCTTGTTATTTTAACTTATTGGCTAAATGCTGACCCATACCTGGTGAACTTGTTACTACTCTTCTGTCATTCTGTTCAGTTTGATAGGGCTCCAGTGCCAGATGTTAGGAGACCTTGGGAATGATTGCCAGTTGATTAATATTTGATCTCATATTGACTGAGGCTCTGCTACAGGAACCTTTAGTTATAAGCAATCAGGTTTGTAGGTTATATCCAACAGTGCTACCCAGCTGATAATAAGGCCCATTTTCAGCAACTTCTCTCTCCATAGTTCCTTACAGTCTCCCTAAATCTGCACCAGAGTATTTTAGAGTGTTGCCGGGGGGGGGGGGGGTAGGGTTGCAGTGGTGATGGGAAATGAGCCAAAAAAATGTTTCCCTCCCTGTTCTGCTGATGGAGGCCTTGCCAAGTCAAACTGTTGGATAGGATCCAATACAAATATGTATTCCTAGTCTCAACCATATAGTTTGTATTTGTTTTTGGCCAGACAATACTTGGGCACAGTGAAGTTAAAATGCACATACTTAATCTCCACGAAAATGAAGACATATATTCATATATATGTGAATATATACCTGTCATTATACTTACTTGCCATCCATAATTATAATAAAGGCAAATAGATTGGTTAATCTGTGGGTCATATATGAAAAGGGACTGGTAAAATGTTTATGCAATAATCTCAATAGTCAAAATTTCCCCAATATCTTAATATTTACATACATCTATTCTAGGACTGTTAATACCAATCAATGCAGTTAAAACCAAATGCAGTCAAGTACACTACAAGGAGAACATAAATACAACAAAGAGCAATGTTGGTCAAATTAAAAATACAACCATTAACCATAATAATTCCTCCATAGTGTATTAAATTAGTTTGAATGAATTACAACAGCTAATATCTAATACTTACAAAGCTTATAAATAATGGTCAATTATAATAAAACTTTGGGTTTTTTCCTGTCAGTCTGTAATGTGAAGTTATTTAAATTAACGTTTTAGGATCCAAGTCTTTGAGTATTGTTTTCAGGGTATATGAGTATAAATTATTGCATCATTAAGTGAACTGAAGGATATGTCAATCATCATTTTTAATAGCCTTGAAGACTTTGACGTTGAAGAAGAAGATGAGGAAGCTTTGATAGAGCAGAGAAGGTTACAGAGGCAAGCAATTGTTCAGGTATGTGATAGTGCTGTACTACCACCCCTCCAAACCAGACTGTAATTTTGTGAAAGCTGATCGTCCATACTGTTTCCATAGAGTGTGGTCAGGCATTCAAGTAGCCATAGTTACAAGGACTATCCATTCAACTTTCTGTTATAATTAGCTGCCACAAATTCCCTCATGTCTAGGTACTGCAAAGGGAAAAGAGTGCATTGAACAAAGAGTGCACACAATAAATGCCAAGTCATCACATTCTGCAGCATGCTAAGTGGCATGCTCTAACTGGTGTATGTGGTAGCACCCTAGTAACCCTGGGCAAACACCCACAGACATATCTATTATGTTTCCTTTGGCTTAGAAATGAAGAGTTGGATCCAGTGTTGCCTTAATAAGTCTGTCTGCCCAAGAAAGCCTTTCCTGCTCTCTTCAAGGACCCTTAGGAAAAAAATCTGAGATCAAATAACGTAGAACTGTGGAGTTGGAAGGGACCACGGGGGTCATCTAGTCCAACCCCCTGCAATGCAGGAATCTTTTGCCAAACATGACTTGAACTCATGACCCTGAGATTAAGAGTCTCATGCTCTACCAACTGCGCTATCCATAATGCAGTAGAGGTCTGCAATAAAATGAAGTGTGTGGGAAATGCCTCTCTTTCAAGTGAACAACTGCTTCCACGGTGCTGGAATAAAGCAAAAAGATTTCTTTGGTTTAAAAAGGTAAAGGGACCCCTGACCATTAGGTCCAGTCGTGGCCGACTCTGGGGTTGCAGCGCTCATCTCGCTTTACTAGTCGAGGGAGCGGGCGTTGGTTCGCAGACAGCTTCCAGGTCATGTGGCCAGCATGACTAAGCCACTTCTGGCAAACCAGAGCAGCGCACGGAAACGCCGTTTACCTTCCCACCGGAGCAGTACCTATTTATCTACTTGCACTTTGATGTGCTTTTAAACTGCTAGGTTGGCAGGAGCAGGGACCGAGCAATGGGAGCTCACCCCGTCGTGGGGATTCGAACCACCGACCTTCTGATGGGCAAGTCCTAGGCTCTGTGGTTTAACCCACAGCGCCACCTGCATTTATATCCCCACAAAATGTACATTTTTTCAGTGGCTTAAGTAATGGAAGCTTTCTTTTTACAGAAATACAAGTACCTAACTGAAGATAGCAACATGTCTATGCCATCTGAACCAAGCAGTCCTCAGAGCAGCACTCGCAGTCGCTCAAACTCACCTGATGACATTCTAGAGCGGGTAGCTGCTGATGTTAAAGAGTATGAACGGGAAAATGTGGACACTTTTGAAGCCTCAGTGAAGGCTAAGCACAACCTCATGGCTGTTGAGCAAAATAATGGTAAGAATCAAATTCCTGTAAAATGTGTTCTGAAAAAAGATCTGCAACAAGTAAAATCAAAAGTGAGATACATTTGATATGGCAGCCATGAGTAAGAGACTGTCTCCTTAATTTTAGAATATCATGAAATATTGTACAAGTTTGCTCACTTGTAGAAAGCTAAGTTAAATTATGCCTGGGGTCGCTCCGGACTTGGTATGCTGAGTCACCAGAAAACAAGGACATGCCTCTCACTTTATCAGGCTGACTGAACACACAGTCAAAATTCAGAAACGTTTTTGTGCAGTTCTCAGCGCAATGTAATATGGCTTTCTTACACATACCCAGATCCCAATAAAATGTAAGTGGTTGGATCCAGACTTAGACATGCTTAGAGTAAAAGGTAAAGGTACCCCTGACAGTTAGGTCCAGTCGCGGACGACTCTGGGGTTGCGGTGCTCATCTTGCTCTATAGGCTGAGGGAGCCGGCATTTGTCCACAGACATGGTCATGTGGCCAGCATGACTAAGCCGCTTCTGGCAAACCAGACCAGCGCACGGAAATGCCGTTTACCTTCCCGCCAAAGCAGTACCTATTTATCTACTTGCACTTTGACGTGCTTTCGAACTGCTAGGTGGGCAGGAGCAGGGACCAAACAACGGGAGCTCACCCCGTCGCAGGGATTCGAGCCACCGACCTTCTGATCAGCAAGCCCAAGAGGCTCGGTGGTTTAGACCACAGCGCCACCCATCAAAATTGATAGGACATTAGTTAGAAGTTAGAAGATTGGACAGTTGTGGGCAGGATTACTGTGACTAGATTACTGACTGGAATGGGGGAAAGAACCCTATCTTGTCAATATTGGTGGCTTGGCAACTAGGTACTTTAAGGGACCACCTCTTTCTGCGTGCGCACACACACACACACACCCCGGGTGTATTACGATCTGCTTTAGGTCCTTTTCTGGGTCCTGTTGCCATCAGAGATGAGGCAGGTGGTGATCAGAGACAGGACTTCCTTGTGGTGACACCCTAACTTTGGAAATCTGAAGGTTTATCTGCTGCTAAGTTTTATGTCTTTGTATTATCCAGGTGAAAACCTTATTCCAGATCTTTAGATACATAGAGTTTTACCCTGTTTTTTTCTTGCACTGTAAGTTGTGTAGTTGGGATTGTTTTAATTTAAGGCAGTTGATGATGAACCAAATGAGGTGAGTAGTATCCCTCTTCACGTGACAGAGGCAGGAGAGCAAAGAATTTTGGGAGGCAGACCTAGTTCCCTCAGTTTTAGACAGCTCCCTGTTTACACAGGGGTTACGTTCCGAGGCACCGCACACATTGGTGAAATCGTGTATAATTGAAACCTATTGAGAAAGCCTGCAAATACCCTGCCCCACCCCTGTTCTGCCATTTTAGTGATATTTCAGTGACATCTTTACAATGTTTCCAGGTCACTTCTGCACGTATACCCCGTCGCACACACATTAAACACACATAAACGAAGGGCTGCCTGTATTTTAATTGTGTTGCACATTGCTCTTTGGTCCAGAAGATTCTGAGAGCAGGATATTAATGGAATGATCTGTAGAAATGTTAAGGCTATCTTGTATTCTTTATCATTGCTTTCATGAATGTGAATTCTTTTAAGGTTCGTCTCAGAAGAAAATTACAGCTCCTGACATGTTCACAGAATCAGATGATATGTTTGCTGCATATTTTGATGTAGGTAATTTTTGTATAAATGCTTTTTGAAGTGCTGCTATCTTTTGGTAAAGAACATATATAAAAATTTCTAAAAGACCACTGGATTAATTCCCAGGTTTTTTATCCAATGGTGTCTGTGAGCGAGCAGAATGGACTTCCATCTCCACAACAGAAGTTCATCTTCCTTTCCTCCCCACTGCAGCCCAATATGTACCTAGAGGTTAATACCCCCAAAGCAGGTTTAAGAGGAGGGGGAGGAAGGGAACTCTCACTGTGTGAATAAAGGTCTCCTCATTCAATGTTGGGTTTCGCCCTGAATCATTTAAACCATTAACTCTAGAAAGTGATTATTTGACCATTTTCATTGTTGCAGTTGCATTAGGGATAATACCAGAATTACTCAGCAGAATTCAAATAGCCCAAATAGTAAGCTAAACACTCATCAGCTTTAATGAGAGATGCCTAGCATTGATGTTTTGTATGTTCTTTGAAGTACAGAGTGTCTTTGCCCTTTGATATTGGGCCTTCTAAAGACTTTTTGTGAGCTGTCTAGGAAACTATGTAATTGGGCAACCAGTAAATAGATAAAACAGTTCGTGTAGTTTCATAGGCAAATATGAAGGAAAAAGCTAAATGAGATTTACTTTATTTCAGAGTGCACGCCTTAGGGCTGCTGGCATTGGAAAAGACTTCAAAGAAAACCCCAATCTCAGGGATAACTGGACAGATGCAGAGGGGTATTATCGTAAGTATGATTGGTACATCTCATATATATTATCAACTGAGCACAACTGCAGATTAAAGGAATCCTGTTTAAAGGCCAGCAGAATAACATTTTAATGTTGCAGGGCTATCTCCCACATTTAGAACATCAAAGAAAACGTGTGAGTGAATAAATATATAGTCCACAACTCTAGCTTACATTTTCCCAGTTTTTCTCTGGAAGCAACCATCAACATTCGCCATTCAATGGAAACCAGAATAATGGCTCGGAAAATAAGTTCCAGCTTTATTTGCCAAACTGGACTCAGAATGCAAACACTTCACTGAATCTCCTTCAGGAATATTGCATAAACAACTACAAAATCCACAGGAAAATGGGTTCTCTTTTAGTTTTCTCATGTGGGAAAACAAGTTAATATTGTTCAAAATCCCTGAAAAGAAATGTCTTGGTACTTGATTTGGGTGAGGCATAGAGAACTTGAGAAGTTGGAACTAATTGGCCAGAAAGCTGGCTTTACTCTGGTGCCAATAGGCACCCTAGCTTGGTTTTCACCAGTCACCCTGTTTGCATTGCTTGGGGATAAAGAGGACACATTTGTGTAAAAAGTGTGAACCTTCCAGCTCTTCCCTGCTGTGACAAGGAATTGCTGGCATTGGTTCACACAGAAGGTGGAGACCATTCATACTCTTACTTTTACATATTTAAAATGCTGTTTGGGTATTTTGCACAAATGTTCTTTCAAGAGCATAAGAAATGCCCTGCTGGATTGAACCGAAGACCCACAAACTTCAGCATCCTGTTCTCACATTGACTGGCCAGATGGCTAATGGGAAACCCACAAGCAGAACTTTAGTGCAACAGCGTTATCCCCACTTGTGATTTCCTGCAGCTGGTATGCCCTTTGACAATTGAGTTCAAACAGGCATGTTGTAGTTTTCAAATTTGCCTGTACATAGTATCTTCCATTGTTCTCCTTTAAAGAGTTACCTTGCTAAATCCTCATGTTCTTTAAACTCTCATAGTACTTCGGGGATTCTGTGTTGACTGCTCATTGTAAACTGAGTGGGAAGAAGTCAGGGAGTAGTATTATGTATTCATAGAAAACCTATTTAGGTGTTACTCGGGTTCTAACTGACTTGAGATCAGGAGTGAGTCTGGGGCTCCACCATCCCTTCAGTGTAGAAGGTAAGAAGCAAGCTAGTTATCAACATGTTCTGTCTTATCCAGTTGGGAGGATTTCTCATTCAAACACAATATTTGCATTTCTATCCAGAACAAAGACAGAGGAGTTATGTTAAAGCAGGCAGTGACCCTTAATGGAAATTGCCATTATGGCTACACCCTATATGCATTTCTGTACAGGTAAATCCTCCTTGATTGATTGATAGATTGGCACTGAAAATGCATTTAACAGCATCTTTTTTCTTTTCCTTAGGCGTTAACATAGGTGAAGTTCTAGATAAACGCTACAATGTATATGGGTACACTGGCCAAGGAGTTTTCAGTAATGTGGTGAGGGCCAGAGATATGGCAAGAGCAAACCAAGAAGTGGCTGTCAAAATCATTAGGAACAATGAGCTTATGTAAGTAAAAAAATTTTACATCTCAAGATAAAATGAACTAAAACAGTAGTGGCCCTAAAAGTTTTGCAGAGATGCATGAGCAGTAACTGAAGATTTACACAATATTCAGGAAGACTGTTATGTAGCATGTTTTGTAAATATATAGAATCCTGTTATTTGTAAACTACTAACCTGTAGCTGCTGGTTTCAGTAGTTGAGCGACTAACTGTAAAGAGTTGGTGTTCATCTGCTGGAAGACGGTTTATTAATCTAGTGAAGCCTTCTGTCCGCAGAATAGAAATGGAGGTGATACTTGACAGTCTCCCTCCACTCCTTTCTCCAGCCCCCATGCCACCTCCTTTGTTCTTCAAAAACTACTCCAACCCTCTGGAGCAGATTTGAAGAGACATTTAAGCTGTTCCACTGAATTAACCGTTACATTCTAGGACTGTGTTCTTCAGCATTGGGTCCCCAGATGTTGGACTACAACTTCCATCATCCCTGGCCATTGCCTAAGGAGGCTGGGTGTTGTAGTCCAACAACATCTGGGGACCTAGATTGAAGAACAATATTCTAGGGCAGGCACAGGCAAACTCGGCCCTCCAGATGTTTTTGGCCTACAACTCCCATGATCCCTAGCTAACAGGACCAGTGGTCAGGAATGATGGGAATTGTAGTCCCAAAACATCTGAAGTGCTGAGTTTGCTTATGCCTGTTCTAGGGATTATAATAGCCCATATTACCTCCTCCTTCCCCATAACAGGAAGTTCCCATAACAGGATGTTCTCTATCTTCTTGCCTAATCTTTGCAAGCTTCAGTCTTGCATTCATTCAGTCACAGTTGCAAACCAGAAGTTTCTCATATCAGATAAGGTCCTTCTGCTCTTATCCTTATGGCTGCCTTGTCTGCCTAGTCTCCAGAGAGCATTATATTTCTTCTGGTAGTGGCAACCCTTAAGTTCAGATTACATTGATCCTTGTAGTTGTAATATTGTTGCTGTTGCTTCTTTATATATTTCTTTATATCATTTAAACCTCTGAATTTTAAATGGTGTTTTTGTGATGTATATTATAATAAATGGATTTATTTTCAGGCAAAAAACTGGTTTAAAAGAATTGGAATTCTTGAAAAAACTCAATGATGCAGATCCTGATGACAAGTTCCATTGCCTGCGATTGTTCCGGCATTTTTATCACAAGCAGCACCTTTGTTTAGTATTTGAACCACTCAGGTAAGGTTTAAAATAATGCTGTTTAGACTGTTCATCTTAGACCTGTTCATCTCCTTAAACTAAACCTTGTTTGAAAGTTTCAGAAGTAGTTCTTCCTCAGCATATATATAACAGGGTATTCTGGAATAGGATATTTGAAAAAGAAATAAGCAGAATGACCTGACACGTCAAGTTGCAATTTGTTCCATCAGAGACGGTTACTATTAAAGCAGAATAGTGTCAAGAGGAGAAGGTTCCAAAACTATAGAATTATCCTGGCATTAAAATTGGAAAGCCACAGAACAATATTTATGTCGCCTCAGCTTCTTCTGGGGAGGAAAAAACCTAAACACATAGCAGAGTTCCCAAAAAATAGACCAGAGGCAATTGTACTTTATCCAGCAGAGCTTGACTTGCTACTGAAGGCAAATGAGCATAATGGTCACAAATCCAATTCATTCAGGATTGGCACAGTCCATAAAAATCCAGTTGCAGCGCTTACAAGAAAATTTACAAGTATTTATAATAAGACTAAACCTTAACACTATAGCATGCAGAAACAGAACAAAGAGACAGAAAGTGAGTAACCCAGGATCCTCCTGGCCTGACTATAATAGTCGGCATGACCTTGACAGAAAGAATAACAGAACCTGTTTAAATTTGCTATATTCAGCTTCCCAGAAGGTATAACCCAAACAACAGAAACCTTTCAAACAGAGAAGCTGCTTGAAACTTCTTGAGCTAAGAAGCAGAACAGGAAAGATTTCTACACATCAGATCAATACTTTCTGTACTAAAAAATGCAAACTGACAATTTATTCATTAAAACATAAGCTAAAAAATTGTTTATACACACACGGATTAATTTTAATTCCATGTGTACATAGAATTAGGAGAGTTAAAAGTAGTGGCAGTGTTTTCTGATGGAAGACGTTAGCGATCTTTTAATTCCGGAGCCAAAACAGAAGCATTCTTTTCATGTAGGGTGGGTCATTTCTGTTCTGGTAATCAAGGTTCTGTCCTGTTACTTCGTGTGTGTTTAGAAAATCAATCTCTGAAGGTGCTAAGAAATAGCTCTATTCAGTTATAAATACATGTAAGTTTTCTCAGTTATTTGCAACTAAATCATTGCATGCCTGGAACAACTTCCATGAGTGCAATGGAGCACACCCACCCACCCACCCACACACACACACACACACTTTCCCTTCCTCACAACCCCCAAATCTGCTCTGAAGAGTTGGGGATCCCTGCAGAGCAGATCTGGGGGTGTGCAAGGGGAGAGGAAGGAGAAGTCGGAAGTTCCACTGCACACGTTTGAGTTGTTCCATGTGCACAATGATTTATATAGACGCAACTCGCAATCTGCCGCCTGATGTTCAGCTAATAGATTTTCTAACAAACGCTGTCGCTAAGTACAGTACACCCTTTTCGGTGGTCCATTACAAGTAAGTTATGGGCTGAAATGGTGGGGTATAAAAAATCTTTCAAGATTTATATTGTTATCTGTGATACATTTATATGATACGGTGTTATAAAAATAGTTTTACAAATAATAAATAAAGTTAATGTTGTTTAAACAATGTTATTACAGATTGACTTCTATAAACTTCCTGTACATTGAATTACTATGTATTACTATTTTTAATGTGTTTGACATTCGGTTTCTTCCACCTTCTACTATCCCCATCTGTTGTGTGTCTCTTTTCAATTTAGTATGAACTTACGAGAGGTGCTGAAGAAGTATGGAAAAGATGTTGGCCTCCATATAAAGGCAGTACGGTCATATAGTCAGCAGCTGTTCCTAGCATTAAAACTTCTTAAAAGATGCAACATCTTGCATGCTGATATCAAACCAGACAATATTTTAGTAAGTAATACCCTGTTTACATTGTGTCAATTTCTATGAGATTTAATTCATATTCTCTCTCTCTCTCTCATGGATTTTATGCTGAAAAATATCAGTGACTGGTTGATTTCTCCCCAACTGCCTGATCATGGCTACCTTCCCTGGTGTCCCACAAGTCCTCCCCCAAGGGAAGAAGCAATTTCTATGAATAAGATCCAACCCAACTTAGTATAGTAATACAACAAATAAGAGCAAATTTAATCAAGCTTGCATTCCAAATTAAAGATGTGCCGTCGCTTAGGACTGGTCTTTATGGCGAACCATCCCTGTGGAGTGACCCACCCTAGGTCAACTGTAACATATAGAGCTCTCTCACCGAATGGATTGCTCCCATTACACAGAGAAATTCCTTGCTGGTGCCGCAACCACACTCTCAAACAGCCTTCACATTACTTGTAGAGTGGCTGGGGAAACCTGGCCAAATCGGCAGGGTATAAATAATAATGTTGTTGTTATTCTTATTATTGTAGGAGCAGTCTACTTGTCATTTTAAGTTTCAGTAGTTTACTGGCAACATTTGAATTCTAATATTTGGTCAGTGCTAATTGTAATACGCTAGCTAGCATTTTAATGTATAATTTAGAATTATTCTCATAACCTGCTTATGCACCTACATGATAAATTAGCATTCCACAGAAAATGCATCACTGACATAACTGCCTTTGTATCAGTAGGCACACTTAACTCCAACCCCTGACAGTTTCAGCATATATTTTTTTTGCATAAGAAGGAACATTTTAGTTATGCATACAGTTACAAGGATGCATGGAATAAGGACAGTAACCCACTCTGTGCAAACATTGTACCAAACAGTTTTTGAAAACATTTGGGTATGGGCTGCTGGGAAGTTAGCTATATAGAATCTTTATTGGAATAGATTGCTGTTGACAACCACAAAACATAGATTGGATGCTGGGCAAAATAATTCAAGTGCAAACTCTGTGAGGTGAAGTACAAATTCATTTCAGATGTTTCTTCTTCATGACTATCAGGTGAATAAATTCCAGTTTTTCTCAACAGATGTCAGTATTAACTGCAGAGTAAATTCCTTTTAAAATATGGCATCTCTAGAAGTTACACATTCTTTCAGACAGTTATGGGTTTTTTGACATATATAATTTTTAAAAGATGCCAAGAACAAAATAAAGCTTTTGGATCAGACCGTGGGGCTATTTAGTCACAGCATCCTATTGTTTACAGTGGCCCTATCAGATCCTTCCAGGAAGCCCATAGCAGAGCATGAAGTCACAGCACTTTCCATTGGTTCACAGCACACAGTGTTCAGATTCACCTTGCTTTTGAACTCTATCCTGCTTTTAAATAAAATCAGTATTAATATGTGCTAAATACATATGTTGAACTTCTTAAAGGTTGGTGGTTAGTTTGCACAATCAGTGTCATTTGCTACTTTCTCCATTAAGTACAATTCTTGTTGCTTTTTTTAAGGTGAATGAATCTAAAACTATTCTAAAACTCTGCGATTTTGGGTCGGCTTCACATGTTGCGGATAATGACATCACACCGTATCTTGTCAGCCGATTTTATCGTGCTCCTGAAATTAGTAAGTTAATCTACTCTTGAGATATTCTTGTTTACATTCGAATTCTGCAGTTAATGTTGATTTTAACTTGCATATTTATGAAGAAGGACCGCAAAAATTGAATTTTATACATGGCAAAATTTCTTGGTGCAGCCTTAGATTTTAATAGTTATCAATCAACCAACTAGCATGGGTGTATGGCAGGCTACTGCGAGAAGGAGAACAAATTCCATCTACAAGTTTCCTTGGCTTTTGGTTTATCAAGTCTTCCCTTACTGGGTCCCCTCCTCCATCCTTCACCAATGTCTTTCGCCACTCCTCCTTTTTCAAGGTTCCCTAGTTGCTGCTTCTCCATTTTCCTTTCACTTGGTTGATACTATCTCCCCATCTCCTTGCCTAAGCCACACTCTTGCCTCTGACATTCTTTCCCCTCTGCATAACAGATGATCAGACTGGGCACGGAAGCTTCTGTAGTATATTGTACTGTATTATCTGCTGCTACACCATAAAATCTCTGTTCTACAAACTTTTTCACCCACCTTTTCACCCAATCTCTTTTCACCTCCCATCTGACACTCTTGATCTGAAAGAAATTAAGGCTGGTGTGGAGCATCACTGATGGATGAATTTTGAAGTTTAGAAAAGGATATGATGGCAATGATGTTTTAATAGTATACCAATTTTTACGAGCTGAGTGGCACGGGAGAAATATCATAGATACTGCAACTCATTTATTCTGTTCTTTTTGTGGCTGGCTGATCCTAGAAAAGTGAGTGACCTTTACTTGAGTGTGTCATTTTCTATGATTAATGGTTTTAATTTTACAACTGTTCTCCTTCAGTTATAGGCAAAATCTATGACTACGGTATAGATATGTGGTCTGTAGGCTGTACATTATATGAACTTTACACAGGAAAAATATTGTTTCCTGGGAAAACCAACAATCATATGTTGAAACTTGCTATGGACCTCAAAGGAAAGATGCCAAACAAGGTAAAGAAATAAATTGCTTGTAAAGATGAATAACATTCTAGAATTTTCCCTGATCTTGTAGGAATCTTGTAACATCCCAACTTGTTCACCCTGCCCCTAAACTATGGTTTACAGCCTGCGGATATTCTTTCTGAAAGGGGCCAATATGCTATTAAAACTTAATTCTAGTGGAACTTCCCACTAACTAGAGTCTGTGGGTGGAACTCACCATTGCCTGAGAGGACTCCTGCTTGCACAACAGTTTTTCACCTTTCTTTCCTCCCCACTGCAGCTCCCTTTATGCCACCCTCTAGAGAAGACTTGGAGGATATGCAGAGGGCTGCAGGTGGGAAGAGAGGAAGATGTAGTCTTCTTGTGTGAGCACAAATGCATTCCACTCACACGCTGAGAGTATGGGATACAACAGTCTATCGTTGATGCAAATGAAAAAGACATCTCATTTTTTATTGTAGATTTTTCTCTCTCTCTGCAGTGATCTGAAGAAATAGAACGTAATGACCCTTGATGTTTTCTGGAAGTAACGTGAGGCTTTTGATGTAGGCTTGTCTTAGTTTTCTGGAGTTAAATGTGTAGAGGCCTATTTTAAGATGCTACCTTTTTATCAGTTGAAGATCTCATACGCCCTAAGCTTCTGAGATCTGTGTAAAATAAAGTGCACTTAATTTTCCAGTTTGCCTACATGGTTGAAATAAGCCTGTCTCCTTGAGATTATTGCTTTCATGTTTTATACTTGTGGACTTTTTAAGACTTTCAATTTGCTATCTATTTTCAGATGATCCGAAAAGGAGTCTTCAAAGATCAACACTTCGATCAAAATCTCAACTTTATGTACATAGAGGTAGATAAAGTAACAGAAAGGGTAAGTCTGAACTACACTAAGTAAAATGCGATGTTCTGTTAGGAAATTTCTCATGCCTTTTTTGTAGGTTTAAATTAGAATTTGGTGAATATGGTTGTTATATAAATTTTGCAACTTTTTGTATGAAGGGCTTGTTTTAAAACTCATTGACATACACCAAGCTTGGGAGAGATCAGTAACCATATACAGCATATTCTTCAAATTGGCAGCAAACTTATTATCATAGAGAACCACATGAACAAATACATGAAGATTTTATACAATAGCAGCTGAATTGGTTCAGCGGAATACCCAAACTATTCACTAGTTGCAGATTTACAGTGAAGGTTGAAATACTTTCATCCTTATTTAGTTTAGAGAAAGCAGTCCACGCAGTACAGAATACACAGAAAGCTCCTATCTGGAGGGTACATTCCCTTTATTTCCCCAAGGTGAACCCCAATTTTCTCTTCTAGTCTGAAAGATCTACCTTGTTAAGGTAAGATAGGGGACAAAAATTGTTATGATTGCATTGATGTTAAATAGTGAACTGTTGAGTCTGTGCACTGAGTAGCTTTGCTTTCAGCCTCAGTTCTGCAGCGTTGATTTGGCACGAGAGGGGCTTAAGTTAGTGGTGGTTGAGGAAGGTGGGGAGTAGGGAAAGAGAAGCTCAAGGAAGTGCAGCAAATGATGGATGCTCAGCCATTTACAGTGCTGTTCACAGGCATAGCTAAGAGATGTAGCTCTCCTCACCTTGGCTGTGATCACACGGAATAGTGATTGGGTGCTGTGAAGGACTTCAGAGAAAAGATTTTCACAGCGCAGTAATAATCAGCTTTTAGCTGGGTGGGAAGGCGGCTGAACTAGGGTGCAATCAAAGATGTTTAGTTAGAATCCGATTAAAGTTACTAGTTTTTTCTCCATTTCCATGAAAACGCTAGCACTTTTCACCTAGCATGATCCAGCCTTCTGCAGTCCGTAAAATAAGAAACTCCATTTAGCTGTTGAATGCAATATGCCCCATTTAAAATAACAAAGTACCACCCTAAATTGGAATGTCCATATACTATTTTATGGCTTTATTGTTGCCTCAGATATTAAGTGCTGGATGCCCTTATCTTTGTAGGAAAAAGTAACTGTCATGAGCACCATTAATCCAACAAAGGACCTGCTGGCAGATTTAATTGGGTGCCAACGCCTCCCTGAAGATCAGCGCAAAAAGGTTCACCAGCTGAAGGACTTGTTGGACCAGATCCTCATGTTAGACCCAGCTAAACGGATTAGTATCAACCAGGCGCTACAACATGCCTTCATCCAGGAGAAAATTTAAATCCAGCGAAGATGTTCAAAGGGTTTGACTAGTTAATATACAAAGACTGATGCAATTTCACAGCAATTTATAAATGTACATATAGCATATAAATAATTACCCTGCAAAGTTGAGGAAGAATGATATATTTGAATTAACACCAAGGCGGATATTTCTTTTAGAAATGTTAGAGTAAATCTGTTTGTCTCTCACGTGAAGATTTTTTCACTGTAGAACTGTTTTATTGCCAAGACTGCACAGAAATACAACGCTAGCGTATATGGCTGCAGTTCCCAAACATATATATATAATATATATATATATAAACACACACACACACATATGCTCCCTCTCTCTCACCCTAACTAAATGCAACAAAGCATCTCTTAAAATATCAGTAAGACTGGGTGGTTGATTTTGGTTTTTAGCAGATTTGGCTTCATTTTGGTCTCTGAAAAATGGCCAGCATAAATGCTGTTTATATTGCATTTTCCTAGGTGTGTGCGTGCAGGCCACAGCAGCATGCCCTTGGTGTAGTCAGTGCCGAAGGGGGTCTATTCCTTCTTGAGCCTGCCCGCAGGGATGGTCTCCTCTTTTAAAGCAGGTTGCGTACAACTTTCAGTACACTGAAGGTAAGCTAAACCATCAACATCACTGACGTTTAAGATGTTAATTGTACTGGAGCAACTGGCAAATGAGGGTCAATAGCTTTGTAGCAGAATTCCCTGCATGTTTTTATAAATGATCTTGTTTTTTTGTTTTCTGGCATTACAACTGTGGCATAATTCCAGCTTCTGTTTGATCATCACATTCAAAGAAAAGAAAAATTGGGGAGTGTGCACTTGATGGAGAGAGCGCCTTCAGTGTACTGTTTATTACTTTCACTTTTAAAAATCAACTTGCTATATATATAGACTTTATACATTTTGTTAAATGCAGTTCACTATGGCATAGAGCCAATACTTAGAGAAGTTTTCATTTCCTAACGACAAATGCGGAGCTCCAATTCCAAAAGTCCTTATTTCATGGCCAGATAGAGAACACCATAATAAAGATTTTTTAGCTACTTGTATGTCATTTGAAAGTGTACTGCTTTATGCTAAAGGTGTTTTTCATTTGTTCATTGTTTTCATTATTTGTGATCATGTTGTCTTTCAATACAGGCATAAACCTTCCACTCTTGAACAAAGCAGCTGCTTTTTAAAAGCGGTAATTGCTTCTTTACCTTTTATTTCTTTTGTAAATGAAGCTTTCTTTAAGAAATGTGACTTTAAAGTGTTGTCTCTTGCATAAAACAGTTGACATTCACTTATTGTAAAGTGAAGATTGTTCTGCTGCATGTAAAGTGGACCATGCAGATTTCTGTATGTTTTCAGTATGCATCATTAGATAATAAAGTCTTTTGTGAACAAGGCATTGGTAGCCATTTTTAAAAGATTTTGTCTCCAGTGTTGCCGACTCAGGTAATCGCATCAGAAGAATCTTTCATTTTTGATAGACCGTTAATTAAAGCAGTTAATAAAAGATGTGGCCCATTGAAAGAGAGATTAGATTCTTAATTATCCACATTTCAGTTTAGATACTACCCCCTGCACCCTACAGATACTATCTACTTTCATTGTAAATTTATTCCTGTAGGTTGTTGGATTCGAATCAGGTTTTAACTAATGTTTGTGCTGTTTTTCTTACTTTTCCTTTTTGATGGTGCTGAGAGAGACAAGGAAAGCAAGTCACAGGCCACTCAACGCCTACTCCAGGGGGTCTGGTTTGCTGAGACACCAACTTCACCTTCCTAACAAGGTTATTTCTGACAGCATGTGTAGATAAACATTTAGCAACAACTTAAACAATAGCTCCTTGTTCAACATGAAGGTACCAAACTCAGTGGATTAACGTTTACCAATCCGATTCTTGCATTAAAAACCAATCCACGTATTATCTTATTTGTATGTATTTCATGTATGTTGCACAGGTGTACAAAAACACCCCAAATCATGAAATTCTGTAAATAGGATTTTTGAAAATCCATTTAGGCAGATAATTGCATCCAGTTGTGCGCATTTAGTACAATCAGTCACGCTGCTTGCCAAAGGGGTGATCTATCCCCCTCCCCATGTTAAAATAGCACACTGCAAAGGAGGCAAGTGATGTTAACCTGCCTGTCTTGACCCTCTACCCTTTTCCTTCTCCAGTTAAAATTACTTTAAAAGTAGCAAATCTGTTTCTCTGTCAGATTACTTAAAATACTTCTTGTTTGTGCAGGAGACAGAATGCAGCTTTCACTCTCACTGAAATGAAGAAGTAGATTGCTTGATAGTTATTTGCACGCAGCAGTGTGGCGCACACTGCTTTGGCGACACCTCCAAGCTATCTTGCACACCAGGTGGCATTCTGACCCAGATTGTCGTAAAATTCTATTGCCTCCACCATTGTTCCTTGCCCCCCCCGTTTACAAGTAATGAAAAGAGTTGGTCATGTCAACTCCTGTAGCAGCTACCACCAACCTTATGGCAACAGGATTTGTAAACAGTTCCTAAGAAAAACAAAGTTGCTTGTTTACTTGTTCTTTGTGTTATAGGTGCCGCTCAAATGAAGATGATGGAAACCAGAAGACATGAACAAAGGTTTCTGTTCTATAAAAGATATGAAAAACATTCATTTAGTTATGTCTAGTTTTTTTTCTGTTCACAGCACTGAGATATATATAGACTTCATTTACACTTTTGCCATTCTGGCAGTTCTTAGCATAGTACCGTTGTGGTGTTTTTATGTAAAATGTGTCTGTTTCATCTTTTGGGTGATGTGATTTTGTTGTGATAAACTTGAGATAGGCATGGTTAAATATTTTATTATAATACTATAGGCAAGAGTCAAGCACATTTGATGGTAAATTTTATTTATTACATTTTTATTCCACCCTTCCTGCCAAAGGAGCCCTAGTGATAAGCTCATGGACATACTATTTAAATTTTTGCAAGCAGGTATCAGCATACTGCCACATTCATTTATCCCGGGCATGCATTATATATGCTTTGGCTGCAAAATATCAATCTTACTTTGGATGTCTCAAAGTGTTAAGAAGAGGTCAGAATTTTTGCAGAGGATGGCTGTGTGGGTGTATACCTGAAGAGCCAGCAGAGATTCTGGAGGTGTAGGCCAGTTTTTTTATAACTCAGTTCACATTGTAGTGGGAGATCATAGGACTTAGCTTTGCTTCTCTCAGCAATCCAGTTTAGACTTTTAAGTGGAGTGGCTTTCTGACGGAAACTAGACTAAGCTTAAAAAACAGACTGAAAAATGAGGATATACTTAAGCCACAGGTCAGTCAAGTAAGAATTAAATATACTGCTTTTTACAGTATATTTACTGTATCAATTGCATCAGTTTGGAAATGTATTTTAAGAATTTCTTCTAGTTCTATTTATCCTTGTGCTGCAGTGTAGGTTGCTATGACACACAAGGTTATTTTGAAATGACTTTGATATATCTGATACTGATTTCTGCCTTTGCTAATCATGTGTTTCCCTTCCTGTGTAGGGTAAGTGGCAGAAAATTTCTGAGAAACATTTGCATGGATTGAAGTTTGCTCAGGAGGCAGATCAGACTATGAAAATACAGAAGGCTGATATCTTTGTGAGATTGACAAACAGTAATGAACTTGTGCATCAAAAAGTGAAGCAGTGGTTTAAGATAACTATTTTTACCATTCATTTTTGACGTTTGATGAATAACGAGCTTATTAAAGTTTTTGTGGGTTTGCTTATGCCGAGTTCTATTGAATATTAAATAACAATGCAACAACGCATTGTGCTTCTAACCATGTAGTCAGTATGATCTACCTATTGTATTAGTCTGGTGGTTCAAAGAATGAACACCAGATGATTGATTTGCCCAAAACCACACTACATTCACCATACAACTGGAGTGAGTTGTTAACACAAGCAAGGAGTAAGCTTTGTCACTAGCCACAACACTGAGTTAACAGGAAGGCTCTGCAAGTTTATCTAAGACAGGTGGGGAACCTGTGGTCTTCCAGATTTGGACTCTCAACTCCCATAAGCTCCAACCAGCATGTTGAGAGGTCAGCTTTTAGCTGCTAAGATCCTGAGTGGACTTCATTTAAGCACACTGAAGAATGCACTGGAGTTTGTTTTGGTTTCCTCTTACCGCTGACGAACTCTGCTATGCTCAGATGAGTCGGACTCTTGGAATGCCGAGACTCTTGGGGGAAGCGTGCCGGACCTCACGCTTATCTGAGCAATAAATCAAGATATCCCAGAGGGAGCTATAGTGCCAGCAACATCTGAAGGGCCACAGGTTCCCCAAGCCCAATCCAAGAAAACTCCATGATGCCTGGGCATTGTCAGATTTTTAGATGCATTCATTTTAGTTCAGATTGTGGATAAGCACAGCTTGATCTCTGTGATAATGTGTTTTATCACAAACTAACATTGATGAACATGGTTAACCTAGAAGTTATTCTTTCACTTCTGCTTTTCTTTACTGTAACTGTAAATTTTTTGCTGCCATTAAGTAATTCCTTCTAGTGAATGCATTTGTCACATTAATTTGAAATTACTAATAAAATGAAAACTATATAAGCTACGGCTTTGAGGGTTGTTGTTTTCTTTACAATCAAGCAGTGTTAAAATTTACGGGCTTTTATCCAGTATTGTGTAAGTACACACAGATGGATATCTTCCTTCCCATTTCTCCCTAACCCCCTAAAGGCTTTCCAGGAGGTCAGGGGTGGGGTGGGGGCTCAAAATCAGGAAGAGGACTCTTGTGCCAGTATGCTATTTTATTTCCTCCCTCTTTCTATTGCACCTTCATTCAACAGTCCACAGTGTTCAGTAGATGCCACCTGACATTATGGCAAGCTTTTGGCAGGTACAGGAATATATATATATATAGGCGGGAGTGGGGTGGAAGAGAAATATCCATTGGGTGATCATGCCTCATCGTCGCACAACAGATACAACCCAGTCAGTTTACATGAAAGGAGAGCACACGTTACTGTTTAGAAGGGTTTAGAGAAAATGCTGTCTTGAGAACACAACAGTATTGCAAGTTTATCTAAATATACAAAAAAAATGTAAACCTCTTCACAGACTGAATTAATAGAAAATGGTTCAGAACTCCCACATTTTCTCCCTAGACCTACTTGTGTATGTGCCAATTGATAACACTTAATGCATCTGATAATGTTCTCTAGTCCTCAGAAGCCTGTATCACAATAAATCTCTTAAGTTTTTAAAGTGCTAAAAGTCTTGTATTTGAGTGAACATCACACTTCTGGTATTCTTCAATAGAAACATACTATAAGTAGAGGATGAAATAATAACTGCTTTAAAGTTTTTTTCAAACTTGTGTAGTCAGGTTTATATTTAGAGCAACAGCGGCATATGATTGCTTTGTTTTCTGGTTGCTTGTGATTCACTCTCCTAAAACATGAATGAAACGAACATGCTTTGTATTCAGTATTTGTATTTCTCTTACATGTGATTATGTTTTGCTAAATAAATATCATCCACTACTTGAAGCATACTATGTTGTTCCTTCTCATTTTTAAGGGTTCCCTTTCTTTAATCTTACTCATCTGGTTTGAATTCATTTGCTAGGAAAAGAGTGGATTTGCATGTTCCATTTTAACATGCTTCCCCATGCCCAAATACAAAACCAGAGAATGTCTCGGTTTTAAATGCAACTGCAAGTAATCGGACTGAAAGTTAAATATTTCATTATTTTATACTTGATAAAAATGTGGTTGGATAACTTCAATTCAAATATAGCATCACTTTCTTTTACACCAAGAGTGGTGGAGCCTGTGGCTTTTTATATTTTGGACTTCAGCTGCCTGAAGTCCAAAATCAGCTCCTGCCAGCACACTCAATGGTCAGGAACAATGGGAAGTTGTAATCCAACAACAGTGGGAGAGCTACAGGTTTCCTGGCTGTAGGTTGCAGTATGTATACTTGTACTAATGAAAGTATTAGCAACCTCTCAGGTCACATGGGGGTAGTGGGTAGATGACAGGAGACTGGTTTTAGTCTAGCCTCTCTGAATCTGGCTTGCTTGGTCCAGGAAATTATTTTTGTACGAAAGAGCTTTCAGTCACTATAAGCCCAAGCTGCAGCCTGAAGTGGTACAACTGAGGGACAAGTTTACATCTCGCTGGCCACTGAAGAAATGAACCTATGCCTTTTTCATCATAGTGGGACATGGGAGCCTAAAATGAGATCCCACCGCCACTCCTTATATCAAGGACATTGGGAGTCTGTGCTCAGCAGAAAGTTCCATGTAAGTAGGAGCACATCATATACTCCACTCATTTCAATTACGGTAATGAAACATGCCCCAGGAAATCTTCAGGTAGATTAGATTTTAATAGCTTTCATTTTGAAGCTTTTTTTTTTTAAGCACTGTTCTGTAATTCAAAGCAACTGATAAAGGGTGCCAAGGGTCTTTTTGTGGCCTTCAGCACTGAGCAACTTTGATTTCTCCAAAATGTACTTTCAGTAATGCAAATTGACCATGGAAGATGTTTGTTGCTCAACACTGGTATAGCTCTGCACTTAAGAGTCTTATAACAAGACTATAAGCCTCATCCATCCTGCATTCTGAACTGAGCCCTTGGTACTGAGACCCTTGTTGGTAGACAGCATAGGCTATTGCATGAACGGATGTCCACAGCCAAATATCTGAGCAATCACCTGGTGGTGGTGGTGGTGGTTGATGGAAGTGCCTGCCATGTGTGGTTTGCACCAGAAATCAACCCTCAAGAGCAGCTTTTGAGGGAAGGGGGGCTGTAGTGGGGAAGGGGGAGAAATCTAGCAAACACCACTGCACAAGCAGAGTTCCACTTTTACCTTGTTTTGATCCAACTAGAAATCTATTTTCCACCCAAAAAGTCACAATCTAGTAAACAATAATCCCATACTGTGTTTCTGTCACCACAACCACCTTTTGAAAGTCAGAATTTAAAAAGCAGTTTAAACAATTTCTAACACATTGGATTTGCCTAGAATAACCTATATGCGGAGCATACCTACCACAGTGGAGAAGCATCTCTGGCGGAGGAAGTGCCATGTCCAAAGCCTGTTGACTTAACACCAGTCAAGGCAAAAGCTAAGGAAGGACGTTTCCCCCTACTCTAAACACCAGTGCTCCTCTCCCCACCCCGCTTCAATTTCCCTCTCATTGGAATAATTTTCCTCCTAGTTTGGAAATGTTTAACTTGGGAGCCTGCAGATCCAAGGCCTCCTCAATCTGCACCAGCACACCCCTTTTGTTCTCCCTTGTGTTGTAGACACACTGACAGCAGAGGGGGGTTCTGTGGTCAAAATCAATGGGTCTCCAGTGATGGATCTCTCACTCTGGATCTCCCTCTGCAGGCAAAGGGGAAGAGCTGCTCTGATCTATCATCAACTAGGAGCTCACAGGACTACCTGTTAAATGGCTAAATTATACTGTTGCAAAAAATAATCTGCAGTGGTTTCCTTTCCATTCTGGCAAATTTCCAAATACGAATTTATTACAAGTACACAAAAAATCCAGACCAGATATCTAGGTCTTTTAATCTAGTATGATATTATATCTCCAACCGGTAAACCCGATGGCATTAGGATGACTTCAGATGGCAATAACCAACTTAAGTTGATTTCGACGTCGTAGCTGATCAGAAGTGTATTGCCTCTGAGCATGGAAGTTATGGTTTTAGCTTATCAATATAAAACTAGAGTAATCCTCTGAAGCCAATTATCAATGCATGTTTAATTCCTCATTTATCTTTTACAGTTTAGAACCACACCAATAGCACAAGGACTGCACTTTATTTGCCTATTCAATTTAAACTTTTTTTATATAAAAACCATCTTAACATTAATTTTTTAAAAGATAAAAGAATACTGTGATTACAATTATTACTATATGATAGAAAGGTAGGAATCCTTTTTGCTATCTGTTTCTTTGAAAATCTTACATGAAAATGTTCTCCCAGAAAAAATAAAATCTGATATTTTCATATAACACAGATTAAAAACTGGATACAGCTTTCCAAATCACCATTGCTCATTCCTTTTGCTCGAATACTAACAAAGGCCTGATGACTTAGTTCAACAGATCATTGCTGGTCAGCAGGCGAGCATTTTTCTTTTGAAATAACAGGTATGGATTTTAGTTTACTCGTTAACGCTCCATTTTTTCTACAAGGTTTTCGTTTTGTCCTTGGCTGCTTCCATTTTGAACTTTCGCTGTCAGGTAAGGAGTAAGCTACAGCTGCACTGGGTAAAAGCAACTTTGTTGAAGTTGTTTTGACAGCGGATCGAATTTTTGGTGAGCTTCCAGAGCAGGACAGAGCTCTCCGTGCGGGTACATTTCTTGAGTCTAAGATTACTGGAGCTTTGGAGCACTTGTTGCACCTACTGCACGATACTCGGCAGGGCTTTGTGGACGGACGTGCAGGGGACGATGCTCCAGAATTCCACTTACTATGACAGCGCTGGCAAGTGCATTTTGGCACGTCCAATTCTTGCATGCAGCAGCCAAAATGGTGAAGATCTCCATCAAAACCTGCCTGAGGACATGAACTATCGGATTGCTTCAGTTGCTTAAACTGGTGTGCATCTTTTGAAAAACTGGTGCGGTTGTTAACCGCCATAGTGGGAGAAACAGTCTCTCTTGTCCTTTCTTTTAATATCGTCAAGTGTTGTAACTTCTCCATTTCCACAAGACGAGAAATTAGCTTGCAAAGTGATTCCTCGAGAGGTGGATTAAAGGATGATTTCCATTCATCAAATTTTGATGAGGACATTTTTTGTAAATCCCAGGTATTGTAAGGCGGGGAAGAAAATCAGGGTATGAAAATGTATCACTCTCAGATGAAGAGGAAACCTCTTCCTTGACTTCTATAGGATCCGGTTTTAGGTTAACATTCACGTTTTTTAAATATTTCAGCAACTCCTTATTTCTTTTCTCATTTTCAGATATCTCTTTTTCTATTGAAGGCTTGTCCTCTACACTGCCATTTCCTCTTTTCAAACTCGATCTGATTACAGAAAGCATGTCATCACTACTACCATCTGTAGCAGGATAAGCAGCAGAAGCAATGGCTTCGTTTTTTAAAAAATCCCCATCTCCATTTCTATTGCAGTTCTCCAAAGCTGCTTTCTGGGTTTCAAGATAAGAAACTGTGTGGCATCTCTTTATAAAAGACTGTACCAGAGGATTACTAGTGTGGATGAAGTTTATAGGAACATCACTGGAGCTAGACGGCATTTCCCCCAAACGTCTATGGAAGTCTCTGAGGGGAAAAAGAATATGGAATGGTATCACATTACCCCTCTAGTGGACAATTTATAGAGCCAACAGCATCACTCATCCTGGATAGAAAAATAAATATATTTGAAGCCAAAGTGCCTTGATATGCACCCTGAAGCAGGCCTTTAATGTTTTCAGCAAATTAACACTCAAAAGCAGACAGACCAAAAGAAGGCTCTAGACAAACAATAAGGTACTTCAAGCAGCCCATAACTGTTCTATGCAGTTCCTTGCAAATGGAAGCCATAGAAGCTACTAGCATAGGATACTTCAAAAATCCACAGAGGTTTAGTCTATCAATTTCTGTTACCACAGGGGAAATGAAGCCAATTTTTAACTTTTAAGCACCATTTGGGAACAAATTAGGTTTTAGTGCTCCCATTGTTTTCCCCCCAAATAATTTTTATTGGTTTTCATGTAAATACAAGCATAACATATAACCACAGTAGCTTGTCCAGTGGTGCATTAAGTTTCATATGCAGTACACAGTACACAAGCAATATGCTCCCATTGTCTTTTTCAAAAGATGGTGGTGGTCGTCTTCAATTTGGATCAGGGCTCTGTGGGGTAGAGGGAGTGTCCAACCCTCTTCCTCCATTCTGCAGGAAGGCCCCCCATAATAAGCATATGGTATTGCAGCTGATACCTATTTTTAAACTTACTGAACGTGTGGTCTTTTTCTATGCTAATGGCATTCTATGCAATGGCATTTTAAAGGTCTAACAGCCTGTATTTCCATGCTTTGCTTTGCTGCATGTTTTGTGATTTTAAATCTCTTCTTGGTGTTCTCTCCCCCCAGAGTTCCTGCCCCAAACCTAGATTCTGGCATCCAGGTAATTCTCCTTTTATACCTATTTTTTCCTTGAACCAACAAATACTTTACTATCCTACAGATAGTAACTCAAGTCCTTTATATATGGGAAACACAGCCAGATGGGCAGGGTATTATTATTATTATTATTATTATTATTATTATTCAAATCAGGGTCACTGGTTCTGCTTTCTATGCAGTTATTTAAGGTTTTTTAAAGAAACAAGTCACCCATTCCAGGAAAGGGAAGCAGGAAAAGCATGCACAGAACAGCAGCATCAAGACACCATACAACAGGAGACAAATCAAAGTAACAAAGATTTGCAACACAGGAGTGCTGGTGCACAGGCACCCTAAAGCTGTTGACAATTCCTTTTGCTAAATGAAGAAGTGGCTATCTGCTTATGTTGGACTGTTCTGTTCAGTTTTGTTTAAAAAGCTAAGAACACGTTTCTTTACCTGCTCACTGCCTTGTTGCCTTGATTATGTATATAGCTCCAGGAATGATATGGTGCTTGTCTGCAGCTATTTGGGCTGAGCTGAAATAAGCAGAACATTTAAAAACAAAATGCTGTTGGTATGCAATTCAGAACAAACACTGGAAATTCAAAAGTAAGTAAACTGGATTGTTAAAACATTTTGGCAAACGAATACTACCTGGGATGTCCTAGTATTTTTGGACAAGCTAAGAGCTGCCAGCTGTTCCATTGCAGCATTATAATGGTCCTGTAAAAGAGTAGAGCCACTTCAATATTTGTAAGGCAGAACATCATTTCTAAAGAATCATGCTTCGTGTTTTAATCCTAAAACTAACCTCAGACCCGGGACACGGGTGGCGCTGTGGGTTAAACCACAGAACCTAGGACTTGCCGATCAGAAGGTCGGCGGTTCGAATCCCCACAACAGGGTGAGCTCCCGTTGCTCTTTCCCTGTTCCTGCCAACCTAGCAGTTCGAAAGCACGTCAAAGTGCAAGTAGATAAACAGGTACCGCTCCAGCGGAAGGTAAACGGTGTTTCTGTGCGCTGCTCTGCTTTGCCAGAAGCGGCTTAGTCATGCTGGCCACATGACCCGTAAGCTGTACGCCGGCTCCCTTGGCCAATACAGCGAGATGAGTGCCGCAACCCCAGAGTCGGTCAAGACTGGACCTAATGGTCAGGGGTCTCTTTACCTTTACCTAACCTCAGACCCACCTGTTGGACTGTAGAAATCCTAAAGAGGTTTACTGAAGGATTTGTGTGTGATTCTAGAACTGAATAAGACAAGCTGGCTTGGTAGACTTGAGGCACATACGGCCAGAAAGGATCCATGTATGAGCAGCAAAGAGGAAGCACAGGTTTCAAGCTATGTTGCTACTGTATATTGCAATGTCCATCTAGTCTTTTACCACTATTTATGCTACAAATTCAGTTAATCTGAAATGTTTTCAACCATCTGAGGCCTTGGATAGACCCTGCTAGAGTCTGAGCCAAATGATCACTTCTAAAATGAAAGCAAAATAAAGCTTAATAGGGAGTGCAAAGATGACAGCATTCAGTTGTCCAGGTGTCTCAAAGACGCAGAGCTAATAACTATCAACACTTGCACCAACAGGGTTTTTTGTTTTTAAATGACTGCTAGCAGCATATATGTTTGAAAGTTTGCTTTAATTGATTATCTGTGCATACTGAATTTATACAGCTGCCCATCAATAAATATTCCCTGGGTAGCTTCCAAAGAAACAAGCAAAATAATGGTAATAATACAATATACCATTATTAAAATCAACAAGAATCAATAAAAGATGGGGAAATAATTGCAAGAGAGAAGGTATGAAACAGTCTAGATTTAAAACACAATTAAAAGGCTCAGATTAATATAAAATAGTCAACAACTAGCAATAAAAGTATGAAAGAAACGCAGTCATGGTTGACTTGCTGAATCATCCTTAGCAACCAGTACACTACAGCAGAATTCTTCAATCTTGGGTTCCTACATGTTGTTGGACTACAGCTCCCATCAAACCCAAGCAATTTAGCTGATAGTCAGGGATAATGGGAATTGGAATCCAACATCTGTGGACCCAAGCTTGAAGAAGGCTGCACTATACTATTGTATTTCTTATGAACATCATGAAACAGTCATTGCAGCAGCGCAATCTACCAGTGAAAAATCCTGAGATCGTAACTGCACTGCAGTCAAAAAGCTGTCGTATGTATTGTGGTTCTTGCTATATTAAAAGTGCAGCATGCAAAACTGGAGAAACAAGGGACAAAGTAGTGTGGGGTTTGGCACAACCGCCATTGCTGAAATCGCTTGTTGGCTTTTGCTGCCTGTGTGAACAGCTCCAATTCCACATTTGCAGTGTGGAGTAGAAGAATGGGCTAGAAGTCCATTGTGGCTGTGTTGCTGAGTGTGCTGAAACAACATCATGGGAGAGGTGTCTCCAGCTTCCCCATCTCCTGCCTTTGGAAGCCTTGGAAGAAGATGCTGCAGGAGATGGACTGTGAGAAATGTTATGGTGAAATGTCTAGTACCAAGGTCAAACTGTCAAGCTCCCTTGTTATTTTTGCTATGGTCAGGAAGTGAAATGTTGTTAATGGAATGCTGTTATAGATACTGCATGAAAATGTTGGTTTTTTTGCTGTTATATCTGCTTGCCTTTTAAAATTAATTTATTATGAAATTGTTCTCTGTGATTGTTGATTTCTGAGATGTTTACCTGTTTTCTTTGTTGAAAGATGCTTCAAGCATGATTTTTTTTTTAATGGCAGCATAAAAAAAATGATGATGATGATGATCAACATCCCTGCCATGTTCTCCAAATAGAAGCAGCCTTAGATAAACACGTGAAGTGCAGTATTACTGTATATCTGCCAAGGTATTCACACAACTTCACTAACGATGCAATTCTATGTACAATGTCAAGTAGAAAGTCCCAAAATAAATAGGCATTGATTGAGCTATATGGCAGCTAAAACCTCAATTTTGTTTGTGAAGGAATTGGAAAAATCCTTCAAGGACTCACACCTGAATAATGCATATGAATTTTTCTTTGAAATAAGAATCATGACAAGAAAGCATAGGCTTCTTTAAAAATTATTCTTAAAGGATTGATGTTTATTTTGTTCTTACCTTATAAAACGCACCTGTAAGAACACCTGTAAAAGACCAAGAGTTGAGTTTTGCTTACAAAAGTTGTTTTATAATTTCTCAGCTTATAGAATATTTGCACTTGCTCACCTTCTCTAGCAATCTTCTCTTCTGATGAATGAAATTTCTTTTCAGCAGAAAAATCAGATTCCAAATTACAGAAGTGTGGTTTCTGTAATGACATTTATCTTATGTTTCACTAACTGCATATATGAAGAAAGTGAAATATATGTTGCATATGAATCTGTGGATGCAAGGCATCCTGAATTCTAGATAGTGCTAGAATTTAATTAAGGCTGGGATGTTAGAACCGGGGAAATAGCCAGACTCATGTGTATTTAAGGTAGACCCAAGTGTGTATTAGGGTGTAGTTTAAGAGGTGGGGTGGACCCATTGATAAGACTGTAATTAGCATACGTGAGAGCTAATTCAGTCAGACAAATGTTTTAAATTGTGACCCCACTTGAATCCTAGGAATTGACATGAGTTAGGTGCCAATTAAGTCAGACAAGCTTCCTTGAGATCATAGCCTGGGAGTGGGGGGAACAAACAATTATGAAGTATCAAAGGGGCTAAGTGTGAAAAGCACATATTGGCTTCCTCCCTACCTCAGGGGATAAAAGCCAAGGTTTAGAGCAGTCGGTTAATAATAATAATAATAATAATAATAATAATAATAATAATAATAATTTTTAATTTATACCCCGCCCAACTGGCCGGGCTTCCCCAGCCACTGTGGGCGGCTTCCAAAAAAATATTAAAATACTGTAATACATCAAATATTAA